CGGACGTCGAAATACACTAAAAGATCCTTTTCGGTCATTTTCGAAGGCTAATGGCCTAAAACTTTGTAAAGGGAATTGAAAAATTGAGTTTTGGAAAAATTGTCTAAAGATCCATAAAAAATTCTAGGATCTATATCTCGACGTGCTAAGTCAAAAAATCTAGCGGAGTAAAATTGAAATTTTACTTTTTAAAGATCTTCAATATTGCCAATTTTCAATTCGGAGAAATGATGTAAAAATCACAAAAATTCTGGAATCTGGAATCTCGACGTGGTGAGTCCAAAAATATAGCGTGTTTATGGTATCGGGGCAAGGATTTCCCAAATACTCGATTTGAAAGTCAAATTTTTTGAAGATCTTAAAAATTGTCATATTTCTAATTGGCGATTCTGGAAAAATGGTAAGAATTTTCCAAGAAATGAAGCCGAAAATAGCTTCTGGAGGTCGAAATCTACTAAAAGATCCTTTTCGGCAATTTTCATTGGCGGCCAAAAAATGGTCTACCATTTTGGAAAGTGAACTCAGAACTTGAGCTCTTGGAAAAAATGTCTAAAGGTCCATACAATATTCTGGGAGTTATATCTCCACGTGCTGAGTGAAAAACTATAGCCTATTTAGGGTACCGCAGCAAGACTTTGAAATGTTCGTTTTGAGATCAAACTTTTTAAAGATCTTAAAAATTGCCGTATTTCAATTTGGAGATGCCGAAGAAATGGTAGGAACTTTCGAAGAAACGAAGCCCAAAATAGTTTCTGGAGGTCGAAATCATTCTAGTAAAGATCTTTTTGGGTAATTTTCGAAGCTGGTGGAAAGAAGCTCCAAAATTTCGCGAGGAAGTTTGAAAAGTTGAGCTTTTGGAAAAATGATCTAAAAATTCACAAAAAATTCTGGGATCTATATTGACTGTTGAGTCAAAAAATATAGCGTATTTGTCAGGGCAAGGATTTTCGAAAAATATTCGGTTTGAAAGTAAAATTTTTTGAAGATCTTAAAAATTGTCATATTCCTAATTGGCGATTCTGGAAAATTGGTAACAATTTTCGAAGACATGAAGATGAAAATAGTTTCTGGAGGTCGAAATCATTCTAGTAAAGATCTTTTTGGGTAATTTTCGAACGTGGTCGAAAGATGCTCTAAAATTTCATGAGAAGTTGAAAAGCTGAGCTTTTGGAAATCTAAAAATCCACAAAAAATTCTGGGGTCTATAGCTCGACGTGTTGAGTCCAAAAATATAGCGTGTTTATGGTAATTGGGGCAAGGCTTTTCGAAATACTCGGTTTCAAAGTAAAATTTTTTGAAGATCTTAAAAACTGTCATATTTCAATTTGGTGATTCTGGCAAAAAGGTGGGACAATTTCGAAAAAATGTACCCCTAATCTAGCTTCTGAAGGTAGACATCTACTAAAAGATTCTTTCTGGTAAATTTCGACGGTGGCGAAAAATAGTCTAAAATTTTGTAAAAGATTTTGAAAAATTGAGCTATTGGAAAATTTGTCTAAAAATTTCAAAAGGTTATTGAATCTATATCTCGGTGTGCGGAACCAAAAAATATGGCACGTTTATGCTACCAGGACAAGATTTTGAAAATCTACGGTTTGAGATCAAACTTTTTAAAGATTTTAAAAACTACCATTTCATACTGGTGGTTCTGGAAGACCCTCTCTCTACTAAAATATCCCTGTTGGTAATTTTGAAAGGTGATCAAAAAATTGTCTAAAATTTTGTAATTGAAACCGAAAATTTGAGCTTTTGGAAAAATTGACACAGTAAATTCAGGAATCTACAACCCGATGTCCTGAGTCGAAAATTATAGCGTCTTTATGGCACCGGGGGAGGATTTTTGAAATATTCAGTTTGCGATCAAATATTTTTAAGATCTTAAAAATTTTCACATCTCAAATTGGCGATTCTGGAAAAATGCAGGTATTTTTAAAGAAATGATTCCGGATTAATTGGTTTGAAATTAAAATTTTCTGAACATCTTGAAAATTGACACATTACAATTGGTTATTTGAGAAAATGGTAGGAATTTTTGAAAAAATGAAGCCGAAAATAGGAGATGCCAAAATCTACCAAAAGATTCTTTTCCGTAATTTCCAAGTGGATCGAAAAACGGTCTAAATTTCGTTACGGTATATTGAAAAATTGAGCTTTTGGAAAAATTTTCGAAAAATCTACAGAAAATTCAGAGATCTGCAACTCAACGTACTGAGTTGAAAATTATAGCGTTTTTATGGTACCGGGACAAGGTTTGTGAAATATTCAATTTGTGATTAAAATTTTGAAGATCTTAAAAATACTCATATTTCAAATTGAGGATTCTGGAAAAATGGTAGGAATTTTTAAAGAAATGATGAAGCCGAAATTAGCTTCTAGAGGTTGAAGTAAGGATTTTTTTAATATTCAATTTCAAATTAAAATTTTTGGAAGATCTTAAAAATTGCCATATTTCAGATTGGTGGGTCTGGAAAAATGGTGGGAATTTTTGAAAAAATGAAACCGAAAGTAGCTTCTGAGGGCCAAAATTTATTAAAAGATCCTTTTCGGTAATTTTTCAAGGTGATCGAAAAATGATCTAAAATTACGTAGTGATTGAAAAATTAAGTTTTTGGAATTTTTTTTCAAACGTACTGAGTCGAAAATAATAGCGTGTTTATGGTACAGCGGCAAGATTTTTGAACTCTTCAGTGTGTGATCAAATTTTTTGAAGATCTTAAAAATTTTCATATCTCAAATTAGTGATTACTGGAAAAACATAGGTATTTTTAAAGAAATGGAGTTGAAATTAGCTTCTAAAGGTTGAAGGATTTTCGGAATATTCGGTTTCAAATTAAAATTTTTTGGAAAAATAAAGCCTAGGTTCTGGAGGCCAAAATCTACTAAAAAATTCTTTCAGGTATTTTGTGAAGGTGGATAATTAATTGGTCTAAAATTTCATGAAGGGATAGAAAACTTGAGCTTTTGGAAAAATTGTACATATCTCAACCTGTTGAGTTAAATAAATAATAGTTTAAAAAACTAAAAAAACACGCTTTTATTGCTAATCGAACTAAAAACTAGAAAATAATTTTTAATGACAGAGTTTAATATTACAGTAGTAGAAGATCAAACAATCAATCATAATAAATCACCTCAAATTAAAATTATAATAAAATTTAAGTTATTAACAGAATAATTCAATTCAGAGTAAAAAGCGTGGGGTGCATTTTACTGCGGTTCATAACTATCCTCTCATAGATAGTTGCCAATAGAATGATTGTAATATTTAAAATATCAAGCACCCCACGCTTTTTACTCTGAATTGAATTATTCTGTTAATAACTTAAATTTTATTATAATTTTAATTTGAGGTGATTTATTATGATTGATTGTTTGATCTTCTACTACTGTAATATTAAACTCTGTCATTAAAAATTATTTTCTAGTTTTTAGTTCGATTAGCAATAAAAGCGTGTTTTTTTAGTTTTTTAAACTATTATTTATTTTTCATTTTTTAGTCTGCGACAAATTCATAAATTGGGGAATTAATTACTTATTTAGATTTTTCTAGAAAGAACCACTCAGTGGTCTCCGTATGATCGATCAACGGGAATTAGTTCGAAATCAATCGCCCTCACGGACCAACGGGACACAATTCATCATTGTGGTTAGTTTTACCCCCCAAATGGTTAATTTTCCTCCATGTTTGTATTTCTGAATCAAAATTTGTTATCTTTATTTAAGTTGGTGAGAATTCATGATTAGATATGTTTTAATTATAATTAATTCCTTCTTTACCGACTGTAAAACCAAAGCTATGCAGAAATTGTCCTTGAAACAGAAATAATCGGTATAGATCGGTATAATCGACACGGAGAGAGATAACCGTGGTATATACTGACACAATTAAGATGCGATCACCCATTTTTGCACACGTTTAGTTAATTAAAAGTCCGTTCTTGTTTTTTTCATTTAATATCCGTTATTTGTATTTTAATCAAGACTATAATTATTACAACGAAGAGTAAACCAGATACTACAGGCATGCGCAGATCGCGCGCTAGCTTTATCTCTTTTACTCCACTACACAGGATCCATAAAAGAATTTATAAATCCTGGCGCTCCTAATAAGGATAATGGGAAACTGTTATCAAATTATTGCATTGTCATCGATCCTTGAGACGTGTGCAAAGTTTCAAGATGATCAGACTTTTAGAAACCGATGAAAATTAAGCTCAAAGATTCCGTTACATACAACCCAAGCTAATAAAAGCGCGATAAAAATATAGCGTGTTTATGGTACCGAAGCAAGATTTTCGAAATACTCGGTTTGAACGTCAAATTTTTTAAAGATCTTAAAAATTGTAGTATTTCAACTTGGGGATTTTGGAAAAATAGGAGTTTCGAAGAAATCAAGCCGAAAATAGCTTCTGAAGGTCGAAATCTTGTTTTTAGTAGATTAGATGGTCTAAAATTTCATTGAAAAGTTCCATTTGAACGAGAAAAGTTTTAAAAATCCTAAAAACTGCTGGAAACGTTATACGATTTTTTCAAGGAACAAAACCGAGGTCAAAATCTACAAAAAAAATCCTTTTAAGTAATTTTCGAAGGTAGTCGAAAAGTAGTCTAAAATTTCGTCAGGCAGGTATGAAAATTTGAGCATTTATTTTAGAAAAGTTGACTAAAAATTCACAAAAAAATCTACTTGTATCTCGAGGTGCTGAGTCAAACATTTTGAGTGTTTATGGTACCGGGACAAGACTTTAAGTCGAAATGTAAAAAAAATTCTTTTAGGTATTTCAAACGTGGTCGAAAAATCGACCAAAATTTCGTAAGTTAAATTTTGACCAAGTATTGAAAATTTCCAAAAAATGTTAAGAGATAAACTTCACAGAGCTGAATCGAGAAACATTATTAGATTATTACCCATTACTTTCTTTCCATAGTTGTTTTTTTCTAAAAAAATTGTGTAATTTATGCCCAGAATCAGGTATGGATTGTGCGCACTATGTACGTTCGGACATCCGCAAACGTCAAACGTCCACTCGACACATACCCATTATTTTTGAGGTTATGTTCCCGAAGATTGTTTTTCGGTCTATTTAACGCTTCCATAACTAAAAATCGCCGTTTTTAGTGGAAACAGCTCGAAAAATGCCCCTGAAATTCAACTAATCGCCAATCGAAAACCATTCCACCTTCACAGTACGTACCCCGTTTATGTAATATCGTTAAACAATCAATTTGTTTATGCATGTCATAATTTTTGTTTATTAACAATTTTATCTCACCCGAAGCGATAACGTTGCTTATTTTGCGTTACATTGACGAATTTATGCGTAAAAATCCTTCCCAGATGGCTAGAGAACTCACAGACTACGAAAGACAATACCAGGAGGACTTGGAACGCGCTCAAGCCCTCAGCCTGGAATCCCTCGCCCTAGAACAGTTCAAAAACAAACGCTTGCAGGAGCTCAACGCCGTCAAAAACAAGAACGTCTCAGGTGAGTTGTAGGCGAAGTTTGCTTGCGCTGAGTGTTGCTTGTAGTAGCGAGAACTCCTTCGATGAACGAGACGGATTCGAGCCGGCCCCAGAGCAACCCCAGACCAAGGCCGGGGCCTTCAGGCGGAAACCAGTCTAGTTCCTTGCTGGCGCCCCCACCGCAAACCAGTCGCAAAAATTTCTCCAGTTATGATTCTCCAGATCTCATTTCATTCGCAAATCCTCCGACTAGCACTGATAATATCATCGAGTTTTGTAACAAGCAGACGTAAGTGGGTGGAATGGAGGAGGCGAGGAATTATGTGTTTTTTTTTTAAGTTACAGCAATAACAGTATTACTACTTTTCCGAGTGCGACGAATTCGTTGCAACATTATTCATATAGGCCCCAGATGACCTCTTACATATCTAATGCATTTACGCCAGTACAGCAGCACCAGGTTTGGTATAAGCCGGGGAATAATGGGAATTATAGCCCCTCGAGTAACTTGGGGACGCCTGTGAATATGCAGGCCCCCATATTTCAAGCATCGAGTAGTTTCAATAGAGCCATATCGGTAAGTTTTAAATTATTTAATTTTGTATGTTTCAGGATCATTTATCTTTCTTTTTCAAACACGTCTTATACTTATTTTTAAAGCGTTACAGTTGTATTTTCCATCCTTATCTGTAAAAATACAGAGATAATTAATGTTGATATAAAACGATAACTTTAACTCATATTAAAGAGAGATAGGAAATATATTAAAACCACTTGTTGAAATTCATTAACGCGGTCTTTGTTCTTAAATTTAAAAACCAACAGAAATTTTAACAAAGCACTAGAAAAAAAAAAGACTTAAAATTTTTCAAAAATATTTTCCTAATTATATACATATCGTTAATCAAAATTTATTCGTTCATCCCCTTCCAAAAATGACGTCATCTCAAAATTTTGCCGAATAAATCCTCCTGACGTCATCACAAAATTTTGTAATGGAAAACGCTTCTTTCGATTTGCTTTAACATTACATGCATTTTTTTTCTTTTTTGTTTTTTTCATTTTCTTAATCTTGTATTTTTTCCATGTTTCAATGTTTCGGTTTCATGATTTTTCGTTTTTTCACCTTTAATTTTTTCAAGTTTTCAGTATGTCGCTATCACAATTTTTTATTTTTCGATTTTTCAAAATCTCAATTTTTAATTTTCAAATTTTTCATTTCTCTTATTTTTTCAATGTTTCTTTCGATTTTGTAATTTTTTGTTTATTCAATTTTTCAAATTCGATTTTCCAAATTTTTCATTTTTTCAATTTTTCGTTTTATCAATTTTTCAAGTTTGGGTTCCAGTTTTTAGATTTTTCAAAGTTTTCATTTAAGCTACTTTTTGGTTTTTTCATTTTTTTATTTTTCAATTTTACAGTTTCATGTTTCCATTTTTTTTTTATTTGAAAAGTAGAAAAATCAAAAAAATGAAAAAGTGGAGAATCGAAAAATTGCAAATCGAAGAATTAATGAAACGAAAGACTGAACAATTGAAAACCTGAAATCGAGAGACTTGGAAGTCGAATAAACGAATCGAATTGAAAATTATGAAATCGTCAAAATTGTAAAGTTGAAAAACTGTAAAATTGGAAAATCGAAAAATTGAAAAATTAAAAAGATGAAAAATTGAATGAAAAATCGAAAATTGTAAACCGAAAAATTGGAAAATCAAAATTCAAAACTCGTGAAACATCCAAAGAGTAGGGTAACCTAAAATTAAGGGAACAAAAAAAATGAAAAATTCAAAAATTGCAAATTGTAAAAATGAAGAAACGAAAAAATGAAAAAATTAGAAATGCATTTCTAAAAATTTAAGCAGAAAAAAAAATGAAAACAAAACCGAGAAAAAATATATAAAAAAATTCAAAATTTGAAAAACTGAAAAATTGAACACTCGAAAAATTGAAGAAACGAAAAAGTATAAGATTAAAACCTTGAAAAAATGAAAATATCTGACCATCGAAGAATTAAAGAGAAAAACTGAAGAATTTAAAAGTTCACAACTTGAAAAATTGAAAACTAGAAAAATTAAAGGAAAAAAAATTGAAAAATTCGAAAGTTAAAAAATCGATAAATTGTAAAATTTTGAAATTGGAAATTCGGAAAATTGCAAAATTTGAAATTGATTACTAGAAAAATTGAAAAAATAAAAACATCGAAAAATTGATAATTTGAACAGTTTTGAATTTAGAGGCTCGAAAAATAAAAAATTGATAAACTAAAAAATCAAAAGAAAAACTGAACAATCGTTAGATTGAAAAATTTTAAATTGGCAAAAATAGAGAAACTCAAATAGTGAAAAAACGAAAAACCTACAACCCAAAATTTAGAAAAATTACAAAACGAAAATGGAAAATCGAGAAATTAAAAAATGGAAAAGAAAGACTGAAAATTCAAAAGTTGAAAAATCAAGAAATCGAAAACTCAAAATATTGAAGAAAAAATGTCAAAAACAAAATTTTGAAATTGGTAATTCGAAAAATTGAAACATTGTAAATTGAATACTAGAAAAATTGCAAATTGAAAAATTGAGGAACTAAAAATTCGGAAAGAGAAATTTAAAAAATCGAAAATTGAAAATTTGCAAAATCGAAAAGATCGTAAATAAAAATTCAGAAATAAAAATATCGAAAAATTCGTGGGTTGCAAAATGGAAAAATTGGAAAAAGCTATAAATGGAAACTAAAAATCGAAAAGAAAATTCAATAATCGAAAAATTGAAAATTCGAAAAATGGAAGGAATAAAAAAACAATCAAGAAATTGAGAAATTTCGTAAAATCATCATCAAATCAATCACATTTTCTTATAAAATTCCTAACACATTTCGTCATTACAACTCGCCTTTTCTAAATTGTTTCAGATTGTATAACTGTGTTAGTGATAAATTTGATATTTTTTTTGATATCTGTAAACGTAAATTTAAAAATATTCTTCTTATGCACTACAATCAGTAATAGCAATTACCTCAGCTGTCAGTATTTGATTATGTGGATCTTTATTGTTTATTTATTTATTTATTTTTTTCTGTTCTAATTGTAATAGCATACCTTTTTATTTATTTTTCCTTTATTATTACTATTATTACTAAGTTCGCATGTATTTGTATTTTTGTTCACATAAGGACGTTAAATGTCTGTGGGAAAATAAACTACCATTATTATTATCAAAGATTGAAATATCAAAAATTAAAAACTGAGAAACTAAAAATCGAAAAAATGGAAAATTCAAAATTTGGAAAATTGATAAAATTTAAAAAATTGAAAAATTGACCAATCGACAAATTTCAAATAAGAACATTTTAAAAAACGAATTAATTTAAATTTTAATCAAAAAATAATTTAAACAATTCATTTGTCCAAATGTAGAAGATACGGCCTTTCAAACGTTAATTTTTCTTTTCGAAATTTCACCATATTTTAATTCACTATTTAGTGTTACGTACAAGAAATTGATTAATTCAAAATAATTTTCATTTTATAACATAACAAGAAACTTAAAAATTGTAATAATTGAAAAATCGAAAAATTCCAAAACCGTAAAATTGAAAAAGTGAAAATTTTTAAAAACTATAATTATTATTACATATTCAAAATGGGAACTAAAAAGATTGCAAGTCAAAAATTGAAGAAACGAAAAATTGAAAAACTGAAAAATCTAAAATTGAAAAGACGAAAATTAAAAAAAAATCGAAAAATTGGAAAATCAAAAACTGAAAAAATTTAAAATGAAAACTCGGAAGAGTTGCGTGTCGTAAAATTGAAGGAACAAAAAAAAATGAAAAATTAAAAAATTGCACATTATAAAATTAAAACGAAAAATTGACAAAACTAGAAACACTTGTAAAAATTTAAGAAGAAAAAAATTAAAACACAGAAGACCGAGAACTAAGGGATCGAAAAGAAATATTGAAAAATTAAAAATTTGAAAATATGTGAATATCGAAAAATTGAAAACTCGAATAATAATCAAAGTAACAAAAAATTGAAAAATTAGAAAGTTAAAAAATCGATAAATTGGAAAATTTTGAAATTGGAAGTTCGGAAAATTTCAAAATTTGGAATTGATTACTAGAAACATTGCAAATCAAAAAACTAAAAATACAAGAAATTGAAAATACGAAAAATGAAAAATTGGGGAACTTAAAAATCGAAAAGAAAAATTCAAAAATCGAAAAATTGATAATTTGAACAGTTTTGAAATTGGAGGCTCAAAAAATAAAAATTCAGAAACTCAAAAATCAAAAAGAAAAACTCAGAAACTGCATAATTCAAAAGTTGAAAAATCGAAAAATTTATAACGCAAAATTTAGAAAAGTTACAAAGTAAAAAATTTTAAATGCGAAAATGAAAAATCGAGAAATTAAAAAATGGAAAGAAATATTGAAAATTTGAAAGTTGAAAAATCTAAAAATTGAAAACTCAAAAAATTGAAGAAAAATGTTAACAACAAAAAAGATGAAAAATTAATTTGGAAAATTTTTAAATTGATAATTCGAAAAATTTTAAAATTCCAAATATAATACTGGAAAAATTGCAAATCAAAAAATTGAAAAATTCAAAATTTGCAAAATGAAAAATTGGAAAAAGTTATAAATTGAAACTAAAACATCGAAAACAAGATTCAGTAATCGAAAAATTGAAAATTTGAAAAAATCGAAGGAACAAAAAAACAATGAAAAAATTGAAAATTTTCATAGACTCGTCATCAAAAATTGAAATATCAAAAGTTAAAAATTGGGAAACTAAAAATCGAAAAAAATTGAAACATTGAGCAATCGACAAATTTCAAGTAATTTTTTTTTGTAAACCAAATTAATTTAAAAATTAAGTACAGGGTGTTCAAAAAATTGCACACTTTGACATCTTGTTTAGGACCCTTTTTGGAGGAGCAAAAAATTATTTAAACAAGTCTTTTGTCCAAATGTATTTACCATATTTTAATTCACTATTTGGTGTTGGGTACATGAAATTGATGGGACTTTCATTATTCAAAATAATTTTCATTTTATTATACGAGACGAGAAACTTCAAATTGTAATACGTAATTGAAAAATGGAAAAATTCTAAAACCGTAAAATTGAAAAAGTGAAAATTTTTAAAAACTATAATTATTATTACATATTTAAAATGGGAACTAAAAAGATTGCAAGTCAAAAATTGTAGAAACGGAAAATTGAAAAACTGAAAAATCTAAAATTTAAAAGACGAAAAATTAAAAACCGAAAAATTGGAAAATCAAAACCTGAAAAAATTTAAAATGAAAACTCGGAAGAGTTGCGTGTCGTAAAATTGAAGGAACAAAAAAAATGAAAAATTAAAAAATTGCACATTGTAAAATTGAAACGAAAAATTGAAAAAACTAGAAACACTTGTAAAAATTTAAGAAGAAAAAAATTAAAACAGAAAACCGAGAAACTAAGGGATCGAAATGAAATATTGAAAAATTAAAAATTTTAAAATATGTGAATGTCGAAAAATTGAAGTATTCAAAAGTTGAAAAATTGAAAACTCGAATAATAATTAAACGAACAGTTTTGAAATTGGAGGGTCAAAAAATAAAAAATTCAGAAACTCATAATCAAAAAAAAAAAAACTCAGAAACTGAATAATTCAAAAGTTGAAAAACCGGAAAAATCGAAAAATTTATAACGCAAAATAGATTTTTTTCTAAAGAAAAGTTACAAAGTAAAAAATTTTAAATCCGAAAATGAAAAATCGAGAAATTAAAAAATGGAAAGAAATATTGAAAATTTGAAAGTTGAAAAATCGAAAAATTAAAAACTCTAAAAATTGAAGAAAAATGTTAACAACAAAAAAGTTGAAAAATTAATTTGGAAAATTTTTAAATTAATAATTCGAAAAATTTTAAAATTCTAAACTATACTGGAAAAATTGGAAAAAGTTATAAATTGAAACTAAAACATCGAAAACAAGATTCAGTAATCGAAAAATTGAAAATTTGAAAAAATCGAAGGAACAAAAAAACAATGAAAAAATTGAAAATTTTCATAGACTCGTCATCAAAAATTGAAATATCAAAAGTTAAAAATTGAGAAACTAAAAGTCGAAGAAAAATTAAACATTAGGCAATCGAAAAATTGTAAGTAAACATTTTTATATAAAACCGAATTAATAAAAATTAAATACAGAGTGTTCAAAAAATTGCACACTAAATCTTTGACACCTTGTTTAGGACCCTTTTTGGAGGAGAGAAAAAATAATTTAAACAAGTCTTTTGTCTAAATGTATTTACCATATTTTAATTCACTATTTGGTGTTGGGTACAAGAAATTGATCGCACTTTCATTATTCAAAATAATTTTCATTTTATTATATAACGAGAAAGTTCAAATTGTAATACATAATTGAAAAATGGAAAAATTCTAAAAGCGTAAAATTGAAAAAGCGAAAAATTTTCAAATATTATAATTATCATTACATGACATATTTAAAATGGAAACTGAAAAATCTAAAATTGAAAAAACGGAAAATTAAAAAAAAAACGAAAAACTGAAAAAATTTAAAAATGTAAAATTGAAGGAACTAAAAAAATAGAAATTGAAGAATCGAAAATTGAAAAATTAAAAACTGAGAAAACTTCAAAAGCTGGAAAATTGAAAAACTTGAAAATTCGAAAACGTAAATTGAAAAACCGAAGTAACAAAAAAAAAACAAAAATTGCAAGAAATTTTTATAATTTTTCAAAGAACCGGGATTTGTTGGGCCACAATTCAGGGCCGAGGGAAGTTATGTCGAAATAAGCTTCCATGTTTTCTTAATTTAACCTCATTGTATTTTAAATATTGCTAAAAATATAATTTCCAGTTTCCACACTAATGAAAATTTACAACAGGTAACATAAAAATCCATTAAATTCAGCTTTAAGATTGTGTTCTAACGATAGCTAAAACAATTGGAATTAAAGAAACACGGTTATAATGATTATTTTTGCGCCTAACAATAGTCAGTTTACTTAGTAACAGAGCAGCGAGCGTTGAATTTTTAAACTCCAATTACTCCAGTTTTTTATATAACCTGAAATAATTCAGTGTTTGTGTGAAAGTGCTACGACCAAGTTTTATGAAGTCATAGAGATTTTATTTTATAGCTTGCTTGCGTCAAGTTCAGCAAAAATTCCTGCTGATTAATTCTACGAAAGTCCCGCAACTGTGATCCTTGTGGAGGTATAATGTTATATTTTATGGAAATTTCAAAAATTAAAACAAAAATTGAACAGGAGCGTTTTTACCACAAAGCGATACCCCAACATAATAAGAAACCGAGTGCCGTGCTTTATCTTGCAACTCTTGGTCGCAAATTGAACCGAACTAATCCCCCAATCCCATTATTAACACTCAAACCATGCAGGCTGCCCACCGTGAATCACATGTCCGTTAATTAAAACACTCAGCCGATAAGATAACCCAAACATACTCCACTCCGTTCCAGGCCCCAGCACTGCCACCCAAGAACCAGCACCGCACGCCGCCCCCGCTGGTCCTGCCGTCGAGCCGCTCCACCGCCGCCGTCGTCCAGCTCCGCTCCGCCCCCAAGCCCAGCGGGCCGGACCTCATCGACCTGGCGCACGTGGAGGACACCAGCAGCGTCCGCGTCAGCATCCTCCAGGAGTTCGACCCGATCCTCTCCTCCGGCGAGTACTCCAGCTTGCGAACCATCAGCCCCGAGTGCGCCATCGACGACTGCGCCTCGGTCTGCGGCAGCGTCTACGACGAGTACGACCCGTATGACATCTACACCGGCTCGGGAAATAACAGGTACGTAGCTTTCGGCGCGCACGTGGCGAAAAATTAATCCTTGTTGATAGTATGGCGGATCCGCTGTATGCGGCGGTGGTGAAGTCGGAGAGCACGCCGCAGTCGCCGCCTCCGCTGCCGCCAAGGGAGCGGATAGTGGGACGGGTGACGGGGAAGCTGAATTTGCTGGATTGTGTGAGGAGAGCGGAGGAGAAAATCAACAGGGATTCGGATTTGAGGGCGTTCTATAATATGGTGAAGGGGGTGAGGAACAAGTACCATTACAAGGACGTTGATACGAATATGGGGTTGGTGATCAGTCCCATGGTGAATTATGAGTATAGGGAAGGGATTAGCATCAAGTTGTGTGTGTATCCGGATTTCGACGGGGCGGATATCAGCAAACCCATTAATTTTACTTGCGATGGTACGAAACTTCATTTTTTTTATTTTCAAGACTGACTTTTGGCTTCAGTAAATTGCAGCATTGAACACGTCACTCTTCAACTAATGTGCAATTTGGAGGCTCCGTCGAAGGACAAGTATACTTTAAAAGTGTGGGGTTGTAACGAGTATTTAGTACCTATTACGCTTCTGAAAGACTACGAGTACGTGCACACCTGCATCAAGTTGGAAGAAGACGTACTGCTGACTCTTATTCCGGACTCTAAAGTCGACAAATCTTTCGCTAGAACCGTGAGTTTGCTCTTATCACTTAGATTAAGTCTCATTCTTGTATTGTAGCTTCAGGACGACAGTAGAGACAAAGATTTAACATTTGAAGACGTCGTGCCTAATGATACTACCATTCATATTTCGTATGATAACCTCGTGATTTTGTTAGGTAGGTTAGACTTGAGAGCTTCCGTAGCGCCAGAATCGTCCCGAACATGGCGCAATTTCACGCTGTACATCCCCCAAATTTTCTCATTGTACTTATCACGCTTTCATCGTTCGTAGAAACCGTGGAAAGCGAAATGAAGAAGCTCGAAGATGCCTCCAGCCAAATGGAGAACTGCAGCAACTCCACCGCCATGCCAAGCTTACAACCCCTCAAGGTCATCCAATCCGTGAAATGTATCATCAACTTAATGGGAAACCTCTGCACTCTAGACTTAACCGTAGCCGTCGAAGAGCTACAACGAGTCTGCAAAGTATTTTTATCGCTCAGAGAAAAAGTAAGTGTGATAATGCTGCTTAATCCCACTCGTGACAAACTTTCTCCAGAACATGACCTTCTCGGAAACGATCTCGAGCATCTGCAACCGAATCCGCATATCTATACAAAACCTCATAGAAATGTATTCGCAAACGTTCAAAGTGGACTTCGAGGTGAAAAAGTCTTTATCGCACCCGGAGCGTAAGTGGAAACTACTAGTGTGATTTTTTTGGTGATTTTTTGTGTACAGCACCTAAGTACGTCCCCGACATATCCGACTCGTTGGTGATCCGCGTCTGCGCCATCTACAGGCCACACATCGACTGGAAGCACGATTCCTTCATGGTCGCTGCCCAGATCTACCACGGGACGAGACCCATCGGTCACCCTGTGCTTTCCACACTGTGCATTAAGACTGAAAAGGACCAACTGTGGCCCGCCAGGATCATTTTCGATCATTGGTAAGGCGCGCGAAAGGAAGCGGAGCGAGAACGGAGCCTTGTCATTTGTATATCGCAGGTTTGAAATGGACGACGTGCCAATTAGTTCGTTAGCGAGAGAGTCAAGACTGAAATTGGTGATTTACGGGAGGACTGTGGAGGCACCGGAAGGCAACGACGGCCAGAGCGAGCCCAAGTACACCCAGGTCGAAATCGGCTGGGCCTCGGTTCAGTTCTTCAACTACGAAGGGTATTTCTGAGTAACAATATTTCGCAGTTTTAACCAATCTAAATGCAGCGTTATGGTCCACGGCAACGTGATCCTGTCAATTTGGCCACCCGAATCCCAGTTCTTGCACGGCGCCCCTCCCCCCTTCGGCACGCACCCAGTACCGGACCACCCCATGATGGATATCCAGATCGCGGGTCTATCTAAGGCGGAGTTCCCGAAAGTGCCGCCTGATTTGATCACGAACGTGGTTAAGGGCGACTTTCACAGTTTGGACCAGTCCACGCAACAGCAGTTGAACGATATATGTGAACAGGATATGCTATATAGACTCCCGCCGGTGATAAGGGAAGTGTTGTGGGAGAAGAGGCACTACTTGTACCATATTCCCGAGGCGCTTCCGAAGGTTTTGTTGGCGGCCCACAGCTGGGAGTACGCCTGCTTACCGGACCTACACGGGATGCTGCACGCTTGGACACCCCTCAAACCCATACAAGCCCTGCAGTTGTTGCTGCCGACGTAAGTACACCCAGTTTAAGGTCTGTCTGTCACCTGTATCAACTTTTATTAGACACGTAATCTCCAAAATGACGTCATTTAATCTATCCAAACTAATTACGTTGTCTTGAAAAAAATGTTGGTTATTGGTTATCATAAAAAAATAAAGTTCCCAAAATAAAATCTTATAATTTTTCTAAATAATAATACTAATCTTTATTTACGGAGGATTCCTTTTTTTACAATATTATTTAACAGGATGATTGAAAAATGAAAAAAGTCGAAAAACATGAATTTATTTTGTTCGATTTTACAGTTTTTTTATATCATAATTTTTCGTTTTTCCATCTTTATTTTTTTTTCAGTTTTTGAATTTCTCGGCTTCCCAATTGTTAATTTTTCAATTTTACCCAATTTTTCAAGTTCTTAATTTTTATTTTTCATTTTTCCGATTTTTTAATTTTCATTTTCTCGATTTTCCGCTTTCTTTCATTTGTAACTTTTCAAAATCTTGATTTCCAATTTTTAGATTTTTCGGTTTTACAGTTTTGCGATTTTTCCAATTTTTTTTTTAGAAAAGTTGAAAAAACGAAAAACTAAAAAATCAGAAAAAATTGAAAAACTGAAAAATTGCAAAACGAATAATTGAAACACTGATAAACTATAAATCGAGAAACTTAAAAATCAAAAAAATTAATGAATCAAAAAATAGGAAAGAAGAAAAAATGAGCCGAATCGAAAAATTAGAAGTCCTAAAAATTATAAAATCGAAAAAGTGTAACATTGGAATGTGGAAAATTTGAAAAATTAAATATCAAGAAATCGAAAAATTGAAAAATCCAAAAACTTGAAAATTTCATACTGAAAAAAAGAAAAATTATAAAATCAGAACATTTAAAAACCGAAAATTGAAAAAATAAACAAAGTCAAAAACGGCAATGAAAAATTGCAAATCAAAAAATTGAAAAATCCAAAAACCGAAAAATTTCACATTAAAAAAAAAAGAAAATAAAAAACGGAAACAAAAAATTGCACTAAAACACCAAGGTTCCTTTATAGTGCGTATGACTTGCTAAAACATCCAAAAGGTGGAAAAACAAAAGAAATGGAAAATTGGAAAATTGCAAATCGAAAAATTAAAAAAATAAAAAAAAATCATAAAATCGAATAAATGAAAACAATAAAGAAAATAAACTTAAATGAAAAAAAAATTGCAAATTGCAAATCAAAAAATTAAAGAAATGAAGAAACGAAACATCGAAAAAATTGAAATTAAAAAACAAAATTATAAACTCGGAATCTTGAAAAATCAAAAAATTCTAAAAATAATGAAAATAAAAAACCAAATTGAAAAACTAAAAATTGTAAACTCGCGATATTTTAAAATGAAAAATTTGCTCAATATAAAAATTAAAGAAACAAAAAACTGAAAAATCGAATAATTGAAAAATAAAGAAACTATAAAACCGAAACGAAAAAATGCAAAATCTAAAAATTGAAGAAAAACAATTTAAGATTATTGGCCAATCGAAAAATTGAAGAAACGAAAAACTGAAAAAATTAAACTTGAAAAAACAAAAAAATGGTAAAATTGAAACACTGAGAGATCAAAAAATTAAAAATAAAAAACCGAAACGAAAAATTGCAGTTCGAAAATTTGAAGGAATGAAAGATGGAAAAAAATGGAAAAACTGAAAAACGGAGGAAACGCAAAATTGCAAAATCTAAAAATTAAAGAAACAAAAAACTGAAAAATTGAAAATTCGCAAATGGAAAAATTGAAGAATTGAAACACTGAAAAATCGAATAATTGAAAAATAAAGAAACTAAAAAATCGAAACGAAAAATTCCAAAATCTAAAAATTGAAGAAAAACAATTGAAAATTGCCCAATCCAAAAATGGAAAAAACGAAAAAATGAAAAAATTAAAGTTGAAAAAACAAAAAAAACACTGAAATGAAAAAATAAAGAAAATAAAAGTCCGAAACGAAAAATTGCAAATCGAAAAATTATATATTGAAGACTCAAAAAATTACAAAATCTAGAAAGTTGGAAAGCTGAAAAATTGAAAAATTTAAACCAAAAACTCGAAACATTGCGAATCGAAAAATTGAAGAAACAAAAAAATGAAAAATTGGAAAATTGAAAAAATTAAACTAAAAAAACTAAATTATAAAACCGGAATTTTGAAAAATTTAACCCAAAAAAAAAACACGAAACTTTGCGAATCGAAAAATTGAAGATACAAAAAAAAAATTAAAACTGGGAAAATTGCAAATCCAAAAAACAATCCAAGAAAATCACAAAATAGATACACTGAAAAATCTAAAAATTGAACAAATTGAGATTAAAAATCCAGAATTATAAAATCGGAATATTGAAAAATCTAAAAATTGTAAAAATAATGAAAATAAAAAACCGAAATGAAAAATTGCAATTCGAGAATTTGAAAAACTTCAAAATTGATCACTCGGGAAATTTTAAAATGAAAAATTTGCTCAATATAAAAATTAAAAAAACAAAATACTGAATAACTGGAAAAATGAAGAAAATAAAAAACCGAAACGAAAAATTGCAAATCGAAAAATTATACATTGAAAACTCGAAAAATTACAAAATCCAAAAGGTTGGAAAATTGAAAAACTGAAAAATTTAAACCTAAAAAGAGCCCAAAAATTGCAAATCGAAAAATTTATAAAAAAGTAAACTTGGAAAAACAAAAAATCGAAACACCGTAAAATTGAATAATTGAATAACAATAAAGAAAATAAAAGATCGAAATGAAAAATTACAAATCGAAAAATTAAAGAAACGAAAAATGAAAAAAATTAAATAAAAAAACAAATTTTTAAATCGGAATATTGAAAAAATCGAAAAATTCAAAAAATAATGAAAATAAAAAACAACGAAAAATTACAATTCGAAAAACTAAAAATTGAAAACTCGGAATATTTTTAAATGAAAAATTTGCCAAGTATAAAATTGAAGAAAAAAAAACTGAAAAATTCGCGATATCGAAAAATTGAAGAAAATTGCAAAATCTAAAAATTAAAAAAACAAAAAAAAATGAAAAATTCAAAATTCGCACATCAAAAAATTGAAGAAACGAGAAACTGAAAAATCGAATAATTGAAAAAATAAAGAAAATAAAAAACTGCAATGAAAAATTGCAATTCGAAAGTTTGAAGGAAATATTTAAGAATCCATAAATTTCAAAATCAACAAACTGAAGGAATAAAAAAATAAAAAAATCGACAAGTCGCAAACCGAAAAATTGAAGAAACGAAAAACTGAAAAAACAATTTAAAAAAAAACGAAAAATTATAAAATAGGGAAACTGAAAAATCGAAAAATTGTAAAAATAAATAAAATAAAAAACCAAAAAAAAATACAAATCGAAAATTTGAAGGAATGAAAAACTTAAGAATCAAAAAATTGAAAACTCGAGATATTTTAAAATGAAAAATTACTAAATATAAAAATTAAAGAAAGGAAAAACCGAAGAAACAAAAAGTCAAAAAAACAAAATATTGAGAAATTGACTAATTAAAACAATAAAGAAAAGAGAAAACCTAAATGAAAAATAGCAAATCGAAAAATTAAAGAAATAATAAAACGAAGAATTGAAAAAATTTAAATTAAAAAACAAAATTATAAACTCGGAATCGTGAAAAATCAAAAAATTCTAAAAATAATGAAAATTAAAAACCAAATTGAAAAACCAAAAATTGTAAATTCGGGATATTTTAAAATGAAAAATTTGCTAAATATAAAGCTGAAGAAACATTAGACCGAAACGAAAAATTACAAAATCTTAAAAGTTGGAAAATTGAAAAACTGAAAAATATAAACCTAAAAAAACACGAAACATCACGAATCGAAATATTGAAGAAACAAAAAAAGAATGAAAAATGTGAAAGTTGCAAATCCAAAAACAATTCAAAAAACAAGAAAATCAGAAAATCGAAATACTGAAAAATCGAATAATTGAAAACAATTAAGAAAATAAAAAACCGAAATGAAAAATTGTAAATCAAAAAATTAAAGAAGAAAGAATTTCATATTAAAAAACCAAATTATAAAATCTGAACATTGAAAAATCGAAAAATTGTAAAAATAATGAAAATAAAAAACCGAATCGAAAAATTGCAATTCGAAAATTTGAAGGAATGGAAAAAATGGAAAAATTGAAAACTCGAGAAATTTTGAAATGAAAAATTAGCTAAATATAAAAATTAAAGAAACAAAAAACTGAAAAATTGAAAATTCGCAAATCGAAAAATGAAATAATTGAAAACTAAAGAAACTAAAAAACCGAAACGAAAAAATTGAAGAAACCCAATTGAAAATTGGCCAATCCAAAAATGGAAAAAACGAAAAACTGAAAAAATTAAAGTTGAAAAAACAAAAAAAAAACATACAATCGAAACACTGAAAGATGAAATAAATGAAAAAATAAAGAAAATAAAAAACCGAAACGAAAAATTGAAAATCGAAAAATTATATGTTGAACACTCAAAAAATCACAAAATGTAGAAAGTTGGAAAGTTGAAAAATTGAGAAATTTAAACCTAAAAAACTCGAAACATTGCGAATCGAAAAACTGAAGAAACAAAAAAATGGAAAATTGAAAAAAATTAAACTTGAAAAAACAAAAAAATCACAAAATCCAAACATTGAAAAATCGAAAAATTAAAGAAACAAAAAATTGAAAAAATTTAAACTAAAAAAACCAAATTATTAAACCGAAATTTTGAAAAATTTAACTTAAAAAAACACGAAACATTGCCAATCGAAAAATTGAAGAAACAAAAAAAAAATGAAAAATGGAAAAATTGCCAATCCAAAAAACAATTCAAAAAATACAAGAAAATCAGAAAATCGAAACACTGAAAAATCGAAAAATTGAAAAAATTGAAATTAAAAAACCAAAATTATAAAATGGGGATATTGAAAAATCTGAAAATTGTAAAAATAATTAAAATAAAAAAGCGAAATGAAATATTGCAATTCGAAAATTTGAAGGAATAAAAGATGGAAAAATCGAAAAATTGAAAAACTTCAAAATTGACCACTCGGGAAATTTTAAAATGAAAAATTTGCTCAATATAAAAATTAAAGAAAGAAAACACTGAATAATTGGAAAAATCACGGAGGTAGAAAATACTCTTCCTCTACCTCCGTGGGAAAAATAGAGAAAATACAAAACCGATACCAAAAATTGTAAACTCTAAAAATTGAAGAAAAACAATTAAAAAATGGCCAATCGAAAAATTGAAGAAACGAAAATCTAAAAAAATTAAACTTGAAAAAATAAAAAAAAATCATAAAACCGAAGCACTGAAAGATGAAATAATTGAAAAAATGAAGAAAATAAAAAATTGAAACGAAAAATTGCAAATCGGAAAATTATACACTAAAAACTCGAAAAATTACAAAATCTAAAAGGTTGGAAAATTGAAAAACTGAAAAATTTAATCCTAAAAAACCCCAAAAAATTGCAAATCGAAAAATTTGCAAAAAAGTAAACTTGAAAAAACAAAAAATCGAAACACCGTAAAATTGAATAATTGAATAACAACGAAGAAAATAAAAGATCGAAATGAAAAATTGCAAAAATTAAAGAAACGAAAAACTGAAAAAATTTAAATAAAAAACAAATTTATAAAATCGGAATACTGAAAAATCGAAAAATTGTAAAAATAATGAAAAAAAAAAACAACGAAAAATTACAATTCGAAAACTCGGTAAATGAAAAATTTGCAAAGTATAAAAATTGAAGAAAGAAAAAACTGAAAAATTCGCAATATCGAGAAATTGAAGAAACGAATAATTGAAAAAATTAAAAAACCGAAACGAAAAATTGCAAAATCTAAAAATTAAAGAAACAAAAAAATGAAAAATTCAAAATTCGCACATTGAAAAATTGAAGAAACGAGAAACTGAAAAATCGAATAATTGCAAAAATTAAGAAAATAAAAAACCGCAATGAAAAATTGCAATTCGAAAGTTTGAAGGAATGGAAAATTTAAAAGTCAAAAAATTGAAAATTCGAGACATTTTAAAACGAAAAATTACTGAATATAAAAATTGAAGAACGGAAAAACCGAAGAAACAAAAAGTCAAAAAATCGAAACATTGAGAAATTGAATCATTGAAAAAATAAAGAAAAGAGAAAACCTAAATGAAAAATAGCAAATCAAAAAGCTGAAAAAATTGAAATTAAAAAAAAAATAATTATAAAATCGGGACATTGAAAAATCGAAAAATAGTGAAAATAAAAACCGTAATGAAAAATTGCAATTCGAAAATTTTAACGAATCGAAAATGTAAGAATCAAAAATTGCAAAATCTAGAAATTGAAGAAACAAAAAATAAAAAATCGAAAATTCACAAACCGAAAAATTGAAGAAACGAAAAACTGAAAAAAAAAATTGAAAAAACAAAAAATATAGAATTGCAACACTGAAAAATCGAAGAATTGATAAATTCAAGTCAAAAATAACCTCGACCACTTTTTCGTGTAACATCAATAGCAACTACTTCCAGCTTCCCCGATTTGGAGGTCCGCAAGATGGCGATCCACTGGATCAGCGGTCTTTCCAACGACGAACTCATCGACTACATCCCCCAGCTCGTGGTGGCCTTGAGACACGAAACCTACGAAAACTCTTCCCTCGCCCAGTTCCTTTTAGATCGTGCCTTGCGGTCGCCCCGCTTCGCTCACCACTTATTTTGGTTGTTGAGTCACACACTTCCCGGTTCCAACCCCCAGAACACCTTCGCCGAACTGTCGGAGAAAGAAGAAATCACCCTCGGAGAAGTGCGCCACCACAGACGCATGAAGCTCATGCTGAGATCGCTGTTGGCGATCTGCGGCGAGGCTCTGAGGACGTGCTTCTTGTCCCAGCAGCTCTTGGTCAAGGACTTGAACGACATCGCCGAAGCCGTGAAGAAAACCAAGGAGTCGCAACGCACCACGGTTTTACACAACCGTCTTCGGGTGGTGGACGCCAACCTCAACGACAACCCCACGAGTTTACCTTTATCGCCAACTTTGAAAGTCGCTGGGGTTCAAGTGAAGTCGTGCTTCTACTTCCCGTCGTACACTTTACCTCTGAAGATCAGTTTTTTGGATCCGAAGGAGACCGTGATTTCCGCGATTTATAAAGTCGGTGATGATTTGCAGCAGGACATGCTCACGCTACAAATGGTGAGGTTGATGGACAAGTTGTGGTTGAACAAAGGGCTGGATTTGAAGATGGTGTCGTTCGTTTGTGTCCCCACGGGAAAGAAAAAAGGTAAAATCTGGGTGTAGTAGAGAGTTTTGGTGAGTGAGATTTCGTAGGGATGATCGAGATGGTCACGAACGCTGAGACCTTGCGGAAAATCCAAGTCGAGCATGGATTGACCGGGTCATTTAAGGATAAACCGATCGCGGAATGGTTGGCCAAACATAACCCCTCAGAGCTGGAATATCAGCGAGCGGTGGAAAACTTCACAGGTAAAAAAATATACTTTCCACGGAAGACACAGCACGTGCTTCATCCCGAAATTGTAGCGTCCTGCGCCGGCTACTGCGTCGTCACTTACATCCTAGGCATCTGCGACCGCCACAACGACAACATCATGCTAAAAACCTCCGGCCACCTCTTCCACATCGACTTCGGCAAGTTCCTAGGCGATGCTCAGATGTTCGGTAACTTCAAACGGGACCGAGCGCCTTTCGTCCTCACCTCCGACATGGCCTACGTCATCAACGGCGGCGACCGGCCCTCCGAAAAATTCCACAAGTTCGTGGACCTCTGCTGCCAAGCTTTCAACATCATCCGAGACAACGCCAACTTGTTCCTCTACCTCTTCACTCTGGTGAGTCGGTAAAATGAGTAGAACCGTCATGAGACGCCCGTTTCAGATGGCGTCCTCGGGCATCTGCGGCATGACTCCCGAGTCGGTGGCGTACCTCCACAACGCTCTTCTTCCTAACATGTCTAACCCCGAAGCTGCGGCTTTCTTTGCTCGGTTGATTGAAAGTTCGCTCAAGTCGTGGTTTACTCAGTTTAATTTCTTTTTGCATAATTTGGCACAGATGAAGTTTAGTAGTGACCATGATGAAGGGTCGTTGTTGACTTTCGTGCCGAAGAGGTACAGTATGGCGACGGATGGGAAGCTGGTGCATGTGCAGGTGGTGAGTTATAAGAAGAGGTACGATCCGGATAAGTACTACGTTTACGTGTTGAGGGTGAGTCGGGCGGGGGATAAGAGCTACATGGAGATACAGAGGACGTATAAGGAGTTCTGCGAGCTGCACCAGAAGTTGTGTATTTATTTTCCGCTGGCCAAGTTACATAGGTGAGTGTAGTTGGGAGGGATTGATGGGGATAGGGAAAGGTGCGGGTTCGAGTCGGAGTGGCGCTTTTTGTTTTTGTTTTTTTTTTTTTTTTAATTATTATTATCATAATGCGTATATTTGAAAATTAGAATCGATATCATCAGTTATTTAGTAAATTAACTTCTTTAAATGTTTTTATTTTTATGATTGTCCAAAGTTTCAAATGTTTCTACAATGATCACATTTATATTTTCCAGATATCGAGATTTTTGAGAATTTCAATTCTGGAAACAAAAAAAAACCCTAATTTCAAAATGTTCGAAACTTCAACACTCTTATGGAAGTTTCAAAAATTAAAAAAAAATATTTGGGTATCTCACATAATTTTAAAGTTAAAAATAAGACTTATGTTAGCAAGTACTATCCCCGCCCGAAAAAATTTTATTTATTGTTATTGTGCTCTCGAAACTGAAATTGTTAAAAATGATTTTGAAAAGACAACTACAATTTTCCAGGTGTCTAAATTTTCAGTATTTCGATATTTTTACGTAGGCCGACTCTCTACGTTTACGTTTTCTCCATTTTTCATGACCGCTAGAGTACGAAGAAATAGGTCTCCCGTTTCCGTCTGTCCGTCTGTCTGTCTGTCTGTCTGCCGTCCTGATTTTTATTAGACAGATAATCTCCGAAAGTACTGGATCGTTTGTTGTCAAATTTTATATTTATATTAGGAATGTCATGTAGATGGTAAAACGCTAACCAAAATTTGTCTACTCATCGTCACCAATAATGTGATGACGTCACTTCAAAATTGTACATAGTAAATGGGTTTTAAATTGTATAAAATAACATAGATCTACACATGTAGTTTAAGATTCCGAATTGAGTTTTTACCCGAAACGTCCAGATTTTTGAAAAAAAAAAATCTAAATTATAAAACATTTTGCAATTTAATTTTGAATCTTCAAAATCAAATGCTTTGAAATCTTGCAGATGTTTTAAACTTATGATAAGGATGATAAATTTTTAATCAAAATATATTTGCTTTGTTGGCGGAAATGAAAACACCACGGAATCGGTTACTAACGTATATTACATTGTGGCACATTACAAGAGAATATTCGACGAGCGTAACATAGTCGCGCTGGTAGCCACGCGGACGGTCGTACCAGAAGTGTCTAAAAATATGGCGTCTTCAAGTGGCGCTGTGTCGCTCTGCGCAATATAGCCATCTCGTGAAGGCGACTACACGAGCGAGCCTCGCACGGCCGAGACTAGGTGTCGCTCCAACACTTCCCCTCGAGGTGACGGTCGTGTAAAAATGTCCACTAATCAACAACGTCAAGTCCGCACGACTTCGCGCACCTCACATGCTTCGGCTTTGACAGTCCTTTAGTTAAGAAGTCCGCAACTTGATCGTCTGTGGGCACATAACTAACCCTGACTTGTCCGTTCTTGAGAACATCGCGCACGAAATGATGGCGGATGTCTATGTGTTTGCTTCTCCCGTGGAAGGTGGGATTTTCAGCAAGCTGCAGGCAACTTCGGTTGTCGCAATGAATGACCAAGTTAGCTAGGTCGTCAAACCCCAGCTCCCGGAGAAACCTCTGCAAGTACAGACCCTCCTTGACGCACTCCGACAGGGCCATGTACTCCGCCTCCGTTGTGGATAATGCAACCGTCCGTTGCTTCTTCGCTTCCCACGACAAAGGCCCACCGTTCAAAAGGAATACATAACCGGTGTACGATCTCCGGTCCTCAGTGCTCGCTCCCCAGTCGGCGTCGGCGAATGCCCTGATTGGCCCATCGTCCGCTCCGAATGCGAGCCCCACGTTCATCGTCCCCTTCAGGTATCGCAGAACTCTTTTGGCTGCCCTCCAGTGCTCTGGGCCATAGCAGTTGTTAAACTGCCCCAGACGACTCACAGCGAAGGCGATGTCGGGCCTCGTAGTCGATGATAAGTAAATGAGCGCCCCCACGAGCTCGCGGTACGGGAGCGCGAGATCCTCTTGACTCTGGTCGATGTTTTTCTCTAGCTTCGTCCCTAGATCGATCGGCGTTGCGACCGGCTTGCAGTCAGACATGCCGAATCGCGAAAGTACGTCCTTTATGTACCCTCGCTGATGCATCGTTACCCGGCCGTCCTCTCTCTGAAACTCCACGCCCAAACAGTGCTTTACATCTCCCAGGGCCTTAATTTCGAATCGTTGGGCCAACTCTCTTCCTATTTCGGCGATCTTCTTTCGGTTGCGGGACGCGATCAATATGTCGTCCACATAGATCGAGATTAACACCACGTCCCGCCCTGATTTTAGGCGAAACAAACACGGGTCTGAGGCCGTCGGGATTGCGCCGAGCTCTTTCAGAGTCGAGTCCAACTTTGTGTACCAGTTCCTACCGGCCTGTCGTAGGCCGTAGAGCGATTTCTTGAGCAAACAAACTCTATCGCCTTTGCGCAACTCCTGGAGCAGACTGGTGGCCTTCGCTACAGTCGAGCTGTCGGTCTCGTTGTCGATGATGCTGCCAAGGGCCCTCTGAAGCTCCTTCGGCGGTTCCATGAATACTTCCTCGTTCAGCTCGCCGTTCAGATACGCAGTTTCGACATCAAACTGCTTAATTGCCATGTCGTGGCGGGCGGCAAGGGAAGCCATCAGCCTAATGGAGCTGAAACGAGCAACAGGAGCAAATGTCTCGGTAAAGTGTATACCTGGTTGTTGGCTGAAGCCCTGGGCGACTAATCTAGCCTTCCTTCTCTCAAAGGTTCCGTCCGATTTGTACTTGTTTCTGAGGACGATGCGACTCCCCACCACCTTGTCTCGCTGTGGACGCTCCACCAAAGCGAAAGTGTCGTTCTTGATGATGGACGTTAGCTCAGCCACTATGGCCCGTCGCCATTCGTCTGCATCGGGACCGCTCAGCGCCTTCTTCATTGCAACCTCGGATACGAAGCTTTGTTCGATGGCATCGACGATGTTGGCACCGGGATTCGGCGCCGTCCGAAATTGCTTCCTGGGTCGGCCACGTCGACCTGTTCTTACAATTCTCGGGCGACCTGGAGCCCTCGCACGATCCGCATTGTTGTCATCGTCGATGATGTCGCGCTCGTCATCTTCTTCAGCAGTCGTCACGTCCCGCTCCGACCTATCGTTCGATTCACCGTCGGCGTAGACGCCGTCTGGGACGTCGGCGGGGCGATGGACCTCGACCTCGACCTCGATGACGTTCCGCGGGTCGTTGGCCGTCGCCGGCGGCGCTCCACCAGCTGGAGGAGGGTGCACGATCTCGACCGAACGCCGAACCTCCGGCGAAGTCTCTCTGCTCTGTTGGGTCTGAGCAGGATTGTCGACGTGACGCCGTTCCTTGTCGTCCTCTACGAACACGACGTCGCGGCTTATCAGTACGGTCCTTTTTACTGGTGACCAGATTCGGTATGCCTTGGATTCGTCGGCATAACCCAAGAAAACGCCTTCTTCTCCTCGCGGGTCGAACTTCCCTTTCCCCGGTCGCCTGTCTAGGTAGTATACCCTGCTGCCGAAAGCTCTGAAATTGGAGATGTCGGGTTTCTTACCGGTCCATGCCTCGTACGGGGTTCCACCACCCAGGCATCTGGTGGGCAGGCGATTTCGCAGGTAATTGGCAGTGTTAACCGCCTCCGCCCAGAACGAGTCCGGTAACCCGGCGTCAATCCAGAGACACCTGGCCGTGTCTAGGAGCGTGCGGTTCTTCCGTTCTGCGGTGCCGTTTTGCTCCGGATTGTACGGCGCCGTCAGCCTCCTCGTAATTCCTCGCGCCTTGAGGTACCGGTCGAAGTCGCGGCTTGTGTACTCGCCGCCGTTGTCCGACTGTAAGCACTTGACGGTTTTCCCCGTCTGGTTCTCGACGAGAGCCAAGTACTCCGTCGTGGCCTGGAACACCTCGTCTTTCGATTTCAGGAATCGAGTCTCTCACCATCTGGACTTGTCGTCGATGAACTCTACGAAGTACTTCGCGCCTCCGAGAGATGGCGTCCTCATCGGCCCGCAGACGTCGGTGTGCACCAGGTCCAGTAGCTGCTCTGTGCGCCGGTTAGAGCACTTTGGGAAGAGGGACCTGGACAACTTCCCCTGGATGCAGATGTCGCACTTAACCGCCTCCGCACAATCCTTTAGCTGGACGCCGCTCACTCGATTATTTCGTATGGCCTCGACGAGGTCCCTCGCGTTCGCGTGTCCCGATCGCTTGTGCAACAGTCCGAGCGGAATTTTGTCCTCACCACAAGCCGAGCGCGCATCATGCTTGTGTCCGCTCACGTAGTATAGGTCTCCTATTCGTTCCGCATACAACAGCACGTTGCCGTCTGGATCCACTACCACCGCTTCGTCGCGCCGAAAATTAACCTCGAGTCCGCGGTCCGTGATTTTGCTCACGGACATTAGATTGGTCCTCAGATCGGGCACATGCAGAGTCTCACTCAACGAAACGTTTGCTGTTTCGCCTAACACGCGAGCCGCGAACTGCACCGTACCAACACCCAATGTCGCGGTAGACGATTCGTTCGCGAGGTTCAAAATACCTGTTTTCGATCTATCGATCTTCGTGAATTGGCCCCCATCATTGCACAAATGCGCTGAGACCCCACTGTCCAGGCACCAGTACGAGCTTGAGTTGGCGGTTTCTTCGCGCTCACTCATTCGCAAACATACGTTCCTTGCGTGTTTCGCGCTCCTTTCCTTGCTCCGGCACTCTGATGCCTTGTGCCCTAGTCGCCCGCATTTGAAGCAGCGAAGTTTGGAGCCCCCGTTGTTCCGTCTTCCGTTGGGACTTCCGCCAGCTTCCGCTCTCTCCTTGTTTTCCCGCCAGCCGCCATTTTTGTTATCCCGCCAACCGCCATTTTTGTTGGCGACCATGGCGCCGGACGTGCCGCTTCCGCCGCGTGCGCAGTTCTTGCGCGCGTCGCTCTCTTCCACGACCTTAATGCGCAGCGCTTCCGGCGACGGTAAATCATCTCGCGATTCGATCGCACATCTAAAAACCTCGAAACTCGCGGGTAGGCTGTAAATTAGTAAGATGGCCAGGAGATCCGGATTGATGTCGACGTCCATGTCGTTCAGTTTATCCACGGAGTCGAAGAACTCGCGCAGATGCTCGCGCACGTCGCCCCCATCGTCCATTTTGCATAAGATCAAGCGTTTCAAGAGTGTCGCTTTTCTCGCAGGCCCCTTCGACTGGTAGATCTCCTCCAGGCGTAGCCACATGCTTCTGGACGTGTCGCAATTCTTTATTTGCTTCAGTTCTGTCGGACTGATCGAGAGCACAATATCCGACCTCGCCTTGCTGTCGTTCTTGACCCATTCAGCAATGGCCGCCGCGTTCGTCGCTGTTGCCTCAGGCTTGACGCAAGTACCGCTCACGTACTCCCACAGGTCGCCTTTGATCAGCACCGCCTGCATTTGTAATTTCCACGTATCGAAGTTGTCCTTCCGCAGCAACTCGATGCGCGACGAATTTCCGGCGTTCATCTTGACGGCGTACTTTAACACAACACGTGCACACACTTCAGTACCTTCGAATATACGCGATTCCGTTTATTCGCGCTCTGGGCCCATAACCTGTTGGCGGAAATGAAAACACCACGGAATCGGTTACTAACGTATATTACATTATGGCACATTACAAGAGAATATTCGACGAGCGTAACATAGTCGCGCTGGTAGCCACGCGGACGGTCGTACCAGAAGTGTCTAAAAATTTGGCGTCTTCAAGTGGCGCTGTGTCGCTCTGCGCAATATAGCCATCTCGTGAAGGCGACTACACGAGCGAGCCTCGCACGGCCGACACTAGGTGTCGCTCCAACATGCTTATCCCCTCCAAAAAATTGATGTCATTTGCCAAAATCAGTCTTATCTTAACAACTATTGACCCCACCCACCCACCCCTATTTTCTCAGAGGGTATGTCATTTGCCAAAATAAGACTTATGTTAGCAAGTACTATCCCCGCCCGCCCGCCCGCTATTACTAACATAAGTCTTATTTTGGCAAATGACATCATCTGAAAAAATAGGGGGCGGGTGGGCGGGACTAGTACTTGCTAAGATAAGACTGATTTTAGCAGATGACATATCATTTGAGAAAATGGCGGGCGGGTGGGCGAGGTTAGTACTTGTTAAGATAAGCCTGATTTTGACAAATGACACCTTAGTAACCAATTAAATTCCTAAATCTACCCGAAATGTGCAAAAAATGATGCGTTTTTAGTTGTGATTTATCATTGCATTCATATTTTTTAGATTTGCTTTTACAAGTGCCCCAAAAAAAATAAATAAATGTGTCAATTTATTTTATTGGTTAAATTAGGAACGGCTCACTCCATTTTTCCAGAAAATTTTGGGAATACAATACTGTCTTTGCAAAAATGTTGATGACGTCATCACAAAATTCTGTAAAGTAAAAACTCAACTCAAAAATACTGGATATATTTCACTGTACTTTGGGTGTGAGGGAAGTTCTGTCGAAACAGCTTTCGACCAATGTTTTTTTAATTTTAAAATACTTGGATTAAAAGATTGCTGTTTCACACATAAATGTTCTCTGAGGATCACATTTATATTTTCGAGATATCGAAATTTTGGAACCAAAAATACCTCAAATTTCAAAAATGTTCGAAACTTCAAAACGATAAGTTTTAAAAATTTCAAAAAAATATTTGGATACTTTACACAATTTTAAAGTTCAACTAAAAAAGTTTCCAAAATTAATGTCAGGCCTATGTGTTAAAATAAAAAAAATCATACATTAAACCGTTAAATTATGTTATTCATTTTTAGAATTTGAAAATGAAACTAAAATTTTCCAGTTCCCCAAATTTTCAGTACTACGATATTTTCTAAAAATTTTAAGAATACGTGGATTAAAAGAATTTTTTTCACACGTAAATGTTTTTCTTTCTGTGATTATCTAAAGTTTCAGATGTTTATGCGATGATCACATTTATATTTTCCAGATATCGAAATTTTTGAAAATCATCTTTTCAGTCTTGGAAACGGAAAAAACTCAAATTTGAAAATGTTCCAGACTTTAAAACTCTATGGAAGTTTTAAAAATTAAAACAAAAATATTTGGATATTTTGTATAATTTTAAAGTTCAACTAAAAAAATTTTCAAAATTCATATAACGCCTATGTGTTAAAATAAAAATTCATAGTGTGTGTTTTGAAAATACGAAAGACAGTTTTTCATTCTATTAAACAGTAAATTCTGTTATTCATTTTTAAAATTTTCAAATTTTATTTATTGTTACGGTGATCCCGAAACTGAAAATGTTAAAACATTATCTTTAAAAATACAACTAAAATTTTCCAGTTGTCTAAATTTTCATTATTACGATATTTTTTACGTCGGCCGACTCTCTACTTTTACGTTTTCTCGATCTTTAATGACCCCTAGAGTACGAAAAAATAGGTCTCCCGTTTCCGTCTGTCCGTCTATCTGTCTGTCTGTCTGTCCATCTGTCTGCCTTCCTGATTTTTATTGGACAAATAATCTCCGAAACTACTGGATCGTTTGTTGTCAAATTTCGTATTTTTATTAGGAATATCACTTCAAAATTGTACGTAGTAAATGGGTTTTAAACTGTATAAAATAACATAGTTCTACACATGTGGTTTATGACTCTGTATTGAGTTTTTACCCGAAAAGTCCAGATTTTTGGAAAAAAAATCAAAATTATCAAACATTTTGCAATTTAATTTTGAATCTTCAAAACCGAATGCTTTGAAATATTGCAGATGTTTTAAACGTATGATAAGTATGATAAATTTTTAATCAAAATATATTTGCTTATCCCCCCAAAATTTGCCAAAATCAGTCTTATCTTACCAAGTACTAGCACCGCCCACCCGCCCGGTATTTTCTTAGAGGATGTCATTTGCCAAAATCAGTCTCACCTTAACAAGTGCTAGCCCCGCCCACCCGACCCCTATTTTCTCAGAGGGTATGTCATTTGCCGAAATAAGACTTATGACATCTTCTGAGAAAATAGCGGGCGGGTGGACGGGGCTAGTACTTGCTAACATAAGTCTTATTTTGGCAAATGACATATCCTCTGAGAAAATAGGGGCGGGTGGGCGGGGCTAGTACTTGGTAAGATAAGACTGATTTTGGCAAATGACATGCTCTGGGAAAATAGGGGGCAGGTGGGCGTTCCTAGTATTTGTGAAGATAAAACTGATTTTGCCCCTATTGATCTTGTAAAAACTCGTGAAATTTAAAGGTTTTAAATTGCAAAATCTCCATAGTAACCAGTTAAATTCCTAAACCTACCCAAAATATGATGAGTTTTTAGTTGTTATTTATCATTGCATTAGGATTTTTTTAGATTTGCTTATACAGGTGGGTCAAAAAATAAATGAATGTGTCAATTTATTTTATTGGTTAAATCAGGAACGGCTCACTCCATTTTCCCAGAAAATTTTGGGAATACAATACTGTGCACCAATCCAAGTTGATATACGTGTCCTTGCAAAAATGTTGATGACGTCATCACAGAATTCTGCAAAGTAAAAACTCAACTTGGATTAAAAGATTTTTTTTTCACACGTAAATATTTTTGTGATGATCACATTTATATTTTCGAGATATCGAAATTTTTGAGAATCATCTTTTCAATTTTGGAACCAAAAAAACCTCAAATTAATTAATTAATTTATTTATCTTTAAATAACCTCTATTCATATTGTTTTATTTTGAAACGGTTAAATTCTGTTATTCATTTTTAGAATTTTCAAATTTTTTTATTGCTGTGATCCCGAATTTCCAAAGGTTAATAAAAAAGCGAACAAAAAAAAAATTGGTTATCGTAAGGAACATATCACATCATACATTTCAGGCGAAATTTATAAATAAAAGTTTCACATGACGTCATCACTTTGTCGGAAAGGATTAGCAAACAGATGAATTCTGATTAGCTATATTTTTATCTGTGATGTTCACGATAACCTTAATACGTAATTTCCGGGGAGTCGACTTTGTAATTTCTGAGATAAAAATCGTGAAATTTGATTTTGATTCACTTGGCAAAATTTTGAGGTGACGTCATCGGGTTTTTAGTGGGGATGATTGTACAAATTGTGGTTAGGGTTTTACACCTACAGAAAACATGAAATTAGCACGTAAAAAGTAAAAACGAGTATTTTAAGTACGTGTATTGAGCGAATAACAGTTTTATTAATAATTGCTAATAACTATTGGTGGTATAGGTAGAGTATTTTTTATCTCAATGTGTGATAACTTTATTAAATAGTCTTAAGATTTTATCTAAAAGTGGACAGTTTTTGTTTCATAGAAATTCTTATACTTAAAGGATTATTATTTTATTATTAAAAAAGCGCTTGTCGACGATAACATAAAGACACTCGGCACACTTTATTACTAAACTAGAAGTAATAGAAAAATAAAGCTTATCGTAAAGATAAATTTACGTGTAGTTTGTAATATAGATTTAATTACAATTATGACAGGGCTTTAGTGTATGCAATTGATAAGTAGTTTTAAAGAACCTGTCACATTTGGGAAGTTAGTAAATTGATTGCCGCCTTTCAAATCGATCAGTTTTTTTTTTTATTTGATAAACACGGTTGATAATGAATTTCATTGGCGGTAGGACCATATAAGTTATAATAAAATTATTGATAATCCTCGCAGAACATATTGACGTTCAGTTGGCAATATCGCTGTTGAGTTGATTACCGAAAAAATGGTAACAATGAGAAAGATAAATTCGTACGATATATATAACTGATTACGTCCATAATTCCCACTATCTAAATCTATTTAAAAGACTGCATCTGCGTTCTTTAATCCCATCCCATCAGAAACTGTGAACGTTTCCGTCGCAGAACAATTTACTTTCCCATTTTTCAAATCCCACTACATCACATTCCAATTTTATCAACATGTCAAGCAAATATTCTTATCGAAATAATCGATTCGAAAGCCCATTATCATATTTAACATCATAATAACGAAATAAAACAATCCCGTACGAAATTAATGTAATAAAAAAATACAATACGTTACAGTTAATAAATACTTAAGCACTTGCACTACTCCCATCCGATAGATCGTCGTCGTCATTAACAGCGACGTGTCTAGGTCTCATCACTTTCGGTTCTTCGTCTTCACCGAAGAATATACTCGTGGCTTGACTACTGAAGTTCATAGGCCTCACGTCGGGCTCCTCATCCTCACTCGAACTATCTTCAGACAAATCTCCGAAGCTATGATTAACCTTTTTGGTGAAGTGTATCTGGAAATTACCGTCGTCGTCATCATCATCAGAGTCGCTCGCTTCCAGGGGAAACTGTATCGTTTTTGTGGCCACCACGGGCGTGGGCATCACTTTGGTCTCGATTTTCTGGGGTTGGGGGGCCGGAACCTTGGGGGCTTGCGTTTTCACCGCCTTCGCCGGGGGCGGCTTCGGCGCCGGCGTCGCTTTAGCCGGAGGCGCCGGCGTCGCTTTAGCCGGAGGCGCCGGCGTCACTTTAACTGGAGGCGGTGGCGTCGATTTAGCTGGAGGCGGTGGCGTCGATTTAACTGGAGGCGGTGGCGTGGCTTTAGCTGGAGGTTTTGGCGTCGCTTTAGCTGCAGGAGATTTGGTGGCGTTCGCTGGGGGTTTTGTCTTCGTAGGGTTACTTGGGGGTGGTGCGGCCCCCACGTCCCCGTTGGCCTTCTGCTCGAACACGCCCTTGATTTCCGGCTTCAGCGGTTTTCGTCTCTCCTTCACGACCTCGTTCCGTCCCAGATTCCCATTACTCGTAGACGCGCCTTCAAATTCAGGTTGAAATACTCAAAACGCTTGAAAATACTTACTCGGCCCAGGCTCGAACTCCGAGAAGGTGTTGAATTTGACGCACACCACTCTGCTCGCTCCGCTGCTCTTCTTGCTCGTCTTACCGATGAGTTTGCCTTTGAAACCGCCCAAAAGCCCCATTTTCCTCGACCGATCAAGATGCCATACTACGCTATTTTGTTATTATCTCGACCGCTCGTGTTTATCAGTAGATAAAAAACAATAACGAAATTAGGAATGCGTGATTAATCATCGAGTGTTGCAGTTTAACTACCGGACTTCATGTTGGAAGGTCTAACATTAAGCAAGTGGCCGAGAAGAGGTACCAGGAAGTGAGTTCTTTCATAACTTCGTTGTTCAAGTGTGCCGACGAAATCGCTCATTCGGACTTGGTTTACACGTTCTTCCACCCTCTGCTGAGGGACCAGCAGTACTCCGAGGAGTATGCGAAAAAAGCGAAAGGTGAGACGTGACTTAGGGCGAGACCTTGCGTTACTCCGCTTGTTGTAGATCGGAAAGGGGTGTCGAAGAATGAAGCCGGGAGGTTGAAAGGACAGCTGAAATTGTCGTTTCAGTTTTCTAAGGGCGTGTTTAGGGTGATGGTGTACCATGTGAGGGACCTGCCGCTGCTGACCAACGGACAGGAACCTTCCACCTACGTTAAGGTCTATCTGCGCCCTGATACCTCGAAGGAAACGAAGCGGAAGACGAAAGTCGTGAGGAAGAATTGTCACCCCAGTTTTGTGGAAATGGTAACTCGTAGCGGACAAGATTTTTACTTTCTAAAATTGCACTTGCAAGCTATAAAATTATTTTGATTAATTTTTTTTAACATTCCAAAAAGTGGTAAGAATATTTTGTAACGGTTTTATCGTTGTGTTGTTTTACTTTCTAAAATTTCACTTGCAAGCTATAAAATTAGTATTATCATTTAAAACGTTCGTAAATATGGGAGTATATATTTTTTTAAATTAATATAATTTGCATTTTTTGAAAATATAAAAAAAAATTGGACAACTTTTAAAAAGTTATAATTACATATTGTTATGAATTGTGATAATAGAGTCATATTTCGAAGATATCCAGGTCGAAAATTCTAAGAATCATCTTCAATGATAATTGTGCTACCAAAACCAAATTTTTCACATGTTGTGGTACAATTTTTCGCGAAAGAGCAAGATTTACATTTTTAAAATTCTGTGGATGGTAAAAATAAACAAAAAATTTTAATTATTGAAACAATAAAGAGGGACATATACATTTCATTTTTGTCGGTTATTTAAAGAAATATGGGAAATTTAATCACGAATTTGTGATGCTGAAAAAATTTCCTATGAGACAGACACCTTTTCCGACCGATTTGGATATACCTTACAATAGTAATAATAATAATGATGATGATAATAATATTTCGAAAAATGAATACAATTTCCGATGAGATAGTCACTTTTCCAGACGAATTTGAACACATTTTGCAATGATAATAATAATAATAGTAATTTGAAAAAAATGGTCGAAGGTTATTTCGACAGAACTTCCCTCGTGCAGCCCATCAAATCCCGGTCCTTTGATGAATCACAAAAAATACCGAGGAATGGAACAACCGAAAATCCAGAAATGAAAAAATTTTAAAAATAATATTTTGAAAAATTCCCAAAATTGAAATGTTGAAAAATCGAGAAATAAAAAAAAAATGAAAAGTCGAAGAATTGAAAAAATCGTTAATATAAAATTAAAAAAATCGAAAAACTAGAAATCGAGAAGTCGAAAAATTAATCTACAATTAAAAAAGTCGCAAAACTGAAAAATCGAATAACTAAAAATCGAGAAATTGAAAAATCCCAAAACTGAAATGTCGAAAACTTGAAAAATCGAGAAATCAAAAAAATTGAAAGTCGAAAAATTGTAAAAATTGTAAAATTTGAAAAATTCAATTATGCACAAACATACTAAAAAGTTTAAAATAGGAATTCAAAACATAAAAAAATCGTAAAATCGAAAATTTAAAATATCGAAAAACTAGAAATCGAGAAATTGAGAAATCCCAAAACTGAAATCGAAAACTTGAAAAATGGGGAAATCAAAAAAAATAAAAGTGGAAAAATTTTTAAATTCGAAAGACCGAAATTATGTACATATCTACTAAAAACTTTAAAATCTGGAATTCGAAAAAATGAAAATTGAAAAATTTAAAAACCGAATAATTGAAAACTTGAAAATCAAAAATTTTTAAAATCAAAAAATTGAAACATCTAGAAATCGAAACATCACAAGATTGAAAAAACGAAAAATTTGAAATTCAAACATTTAACTTAAAAAACCCGTTGAATCGAAAAATTAAATAATCGGTACATCGACATCTCGATAAATTGAAAAATACGAAAACTGAAAATTTAAAAAATTAAAAACCGAAAAATTGAAAACTTGAAAAATTTTAAAAATCAAAAAATTGAAAAAGCGAAATTCTAAAAGCGACAAACGGAGAAATGGAAATTGAAAAATGTTAATATCTAGAAATCGAGAAAGATTGAGAAAACGAAAAATTTGAAATTGAAACATTTAACTTAAAAAACCCGTTTAATCGAAAAATTAAACAATCTATACATTGAAATCTCAATAGATTGGTAAATCGGAAAACTGAAAATTGAAAAATTTAAAAATCGAAAATCTAAAAGCGTGAAATGGAGAAATCTAAACTGAAAAATTGAAACATTTAGAAATCGTAACATCAAAAGATTGAGAAAACGAAAAATTTGAAATTGAAATATTTAACTTAAAAAACCCGATTAATCGTAAAATTAAACAATCGATACATCGACGTCTCGATAAATTGTAAAATCGGAAAACTGAAAATTGCAAAATTTAAAAATCAAAAAATTGAAAAACCGGAAATCTAAGAGAGAAATCGAAAAGCTTAGAAGTCGAAAAATCGAAAACGAAAATTGTGAAATTGAAACATTTAACTCAAAAAACCCGATAAATCGAAAAATTAAAAAAGCCATACATGGAAATTTCGATAAATTTGGAAATCGGAAAACTGAAAAACTAAAAATTGAAAATTTAAAAACCAAAAAATTGAAAACTTGAAAAATCAAAAATTATAAAATTCAAAAAATTATAAGACAGATATCGAAACATCAAAAAAATCAAAAATCTAACATTTAAAAATTTGAAAAATTGAAAAAGTTGAAAACTGAAGTACATACTAAAAAACCGAAAAATCGAGAAAACAAAATATCTAAAATTAAAAAAAAACGAAAAATTAAAACGTCGAAAAATTGAATCGAGAAATCAAAGCATCAAAAAATCCCAAAATTGAAAAAGCGACAAACGGAGAAATGGAAATTGAAAAATGGAAATATCTAGAAATCGAGAAAGATTGAGAAAACGAAAAATTTGAAATTGAAATATTTAAATTAAAAAACCCGATGAATCGAAAAATTAAACAATCTATACATCGAAATCTCAATAGATTGGTAAATCGGAAAACTGAAAATTGAAAAATTTAAAAACCGAAAATCTAAAAGCGTGAAATGGAGAAATCGAAATTGAAAAATTGAAACATTTAAAAATCGTAACATCAAAAGATTGAGAAAACGAAAAATTTGAAATTGAAATATTTAACTTAAAAAACCGATTAATCGTAAAATTAAACAATCGACATCTTGATAAATTGGAAAATCGGAAAACTGAAAATTCAAAATTTAAAAATCAAAAAATTGAAAAACCGGAAATCTAAGAGAGAAATCGAAAAAATTGAAACATCTAGAAATCGAATCATCAAAGGATTGAGAAATCGAAAAGCTTAGAAGTCGAACAATCGAAAAGGAAAATTGTGAAATTGAAACATTTAACTCAAAAAAAAAAACGATAAATCGAAAAATTAAAAAAGCCATACATGGAAATCTCGATAAATTTGAAAATCGGAAAACTGAAAAACTAAAAATTGAAAATTTAAAAACCGAAAAATTGAAAACTTGAAAAATCAAAAATTATAAAAATAAAAAATTTATAAGACAGATATCGAAACATCAAAAAAGTGAAAAATCTAACATTTAAAAATTTGAAAAATTGAAAAAGTTGAAAACTGAAGTACTAAAAAACCGAAAAATCGAGAAAACAAAAATATCTAAAATAAAAAAAAACAAAAAATTAAAACGTCGAAAAATTTAATCCAGAAATCAAAGCATCAAAAAATTGAAAAATCCCAAAATTGAAAAATGTTAAAACCGAAACATCGACAACTTGAGAAATCGAAAAACTGAGAAATCGAGACATCGAAAAGTCAAAAAATGAAAAGTCGAAAAATCGCGAAATTAAAAAAATTAAAAGTAGAAAAATTGTAAAATTTGAAAAATTCAAATATGCACAAACATACTAAAAAGTTTAAAATAGGAATTCAAAACACAAAAAAATCGTAAAATCGAAAATTGAAAAAATCGTTAAAATTTAAAAAATCGAAAAACTAAAAATCAAAAAACTAAAAATCCAGAAATTGAGAAATCCCAAAACTGAAGTCGAAAACTTGAAAACTGGGGAAATCAAAAAAATTAAAAGTGGAAAGATTTTAAAATTCGAAAAACCGAAATTATGTACATATCTACTAAAAACTTTAAAATCTGGAATTCGAAAAAATGAAAACTGAAAAATTTAAAAACCGAAAAATTGAAAACTTGAAAATCAAAAATTTTTTAAATCAAAAAATTGAAACATCTAGAAATCGAAACATCACAAGATTGAAAAAACGAAAAATTTGAAATTCAAACAGTTAACTTAAAAAACCCGTTGAATCGAAAAATTAAACAATCGATACATCGACATCTCGATAAATTGAAAAATCCGAAAACTGAAAATTAAAAAATTTAAAAATCAAAAAATTGAAAAACCGGAAATCTAAGAGAAATCGAAAAAATTGAAACATCTAGAAATCAAAGCATCAAAAGATTGAGAAATCGAAAAGCTTAGAAGTCGAACAATCGAAAACGACCATTTAACTCAAAAAACCCGATAAATCGAAAAATTAAAAAAGCGATACATTTGAAAATCGGAAAACTGAAAAACTAAAAATTGAAAATTTAAAAACCGAAAAATTGAAAACTTGAAAAATCAAAAATTATAAAAATCAAAAAATTATAAGACAGATATCGAAACATCAAAAAAGTGAAAAATCTAACATTTAAAAATTTGAAAAATTGAAAAAGTTGAAAACTGAAGTACTAAAAAACCGAAAAATCGAGAAAACAAAATATCTAAAATAAAAAAAAAACGAAAAATTAAAACGTCGAAAAATTGAATCGAGAAATCAAAGCAACAAAAAATTGAAAAATCTTAAAACCGAAACATCGACAACTTGAAAAATTGAAAAACTGAGAAATCGAGACATCGAAAAGTCGAAAAATCAAAGAATCGATTTATAGAGAAATTGAGAAACGGAACAATCGAAAATTTCGAAACGCCACAAATTTATTCGGCAAAATTTTGAGATGACGTCATCAGTTTTTTGAGAGAGGATAAACGAATAAATTGTGCTTAACGATTTACCATGATTACGGTAACCTTAAAATATTTACAAGATTTCAAAGCAATCAGTTTTGCAGTTTCAAAGTTACATTGCAAAATATTGTTATTCAGACAGACAGACGAACGGACGGACGGACTTTGAGAAAATATAAAAGTAGCAATTCGTCCGATGGACGCGATTACTTGTACTTCCTTAGATTACGCCCGGAAAGTATAGTTTTGGAAATTTCATTCTACCCTATAAAATTTTATTAACAAGACGGACAGTAGTACCATGGTAATAAATATTTATGGCTCACACGAATTTACCCAAATTTGTCGGAGAACATTTAACAGGTAGTTGTACTCATAAAATAATGCTCACTTTCGTTCGTGACTAACGATGGGCCCTGTCCGGGCCTGGATTATTCTGCTTTCTAACATCTGGGGATTACCGGCACGCGACAACTATAAGTTGTAAATATCTCTTGCTGTTGGACTACTGTCCGTCTCGTTATTGTCAATAAAATTTTATAGGGTAAAATGAAATTTACAAAACTATAAAAAGAAAGGAGAAGAAATAATGTTTTTCTCTATAATTTCCAGGCCAATTTGACCATCTTTTACAATAATGATAATGTTGATAATAATAATTCAAAAAAATAACGGACAAATTTGCGTTTTTCTCAGTTATTTCAATAGATACTGGAGAGCTAGCTACGATTTCAAGAATTCTGAGAAAATTTTCGATGAGGTGGAGATTTTCCAAATCGACTTGAACGACTAAAGAAGGAAAAACCGAAAATCGAAAAATAAAAAAATTAAAAATTCGAACATCGAAAAATCGAAAAGCAAAGAAATTGAAAAGAGTGGGAACTGAAGAATGGAAAAATTGAAACAACGAAAATGCGAAAAATCGTAAAGGAAATAAACTGAAAATTCGAATATGGAAAAATAGAAAATTTAACGAGTCATTTTAGGCCAGAGAAGGTGGAAATTAAAAGAAAATCGAAAATTGAAAATTTGCAATATTGAAAGGTTGAAAAGTTGAAAATTCGAGGAATCGAGAAACCAAAAAATCTAAAATTAAAATGTCAAAAAACGAAAAAATTCCCAAACTAGAAGTTGAGAAATCGAAAACTTGAAAAATCGAAAAATGGCAAAATTTTAACATTGAGAAACCGAGAAGTCGAGAAATGGAAAATTAAAAAACCGTAAAATGCAAAAATTGAAAAATCGATAAATAGGAAATTTAAAAATACCAAAATTTGAAAAAACGAAAAACTGAAAAATCAGAAAACCAGGAATCGAGAAATCTAAAGATTTTAAATTAAAAAAAAAAACAATTGAATAATCGAGAAATTGAAGAATCAAAGAATTGAAAAATCGAAAAATAGAAGTAGTACTTGTAAATATAAGACTGATTTTGGCCAATAATATACCTTCCATGAAAACGGAGGGCGGGTGGGCGGGGCGGGGCTAGTACTTGTTAAGATAAGTCTGATTTTGGCAAATGATACACCCTTTAAGAAAATAGGGGGCTGGTGGGTGGGGCTTGTACTTGCTAAGATCAGACTGACATCACATTCCATACTTTTTCACCGAAGGGGATTTATTTATATCGTAATCAGTGTGAAATTTGCTTTCAGCTGGAGTACCGGATGGCGCTAGAAGTCATCCAAGAGAAGAGCCTCCAGGCCACCGTCTGGAACTACGACCCCCTCCAAGAGAACGAGTTCTTAGGGTGCGTCGAGCTGCCGCTGATGGACATCGACTTAACCAAAGAGACCACCGAGTGGTACCCGCTGGTCAACCTGACCAGATAGCAGTTGTTTTTCCAATGAAGCGTCAATTATTGTGATCGGAATTCAAAATGGTGCTCTTTATATCCAGATCTTACACATATGTCGCACTTTTAATATTTATAACTCAGCAATAAACGCCTGAATCGCTTGACGGGACGCGAAAACCGGTTGTATTGAGATTTTGTCGCGCTTAAGGCTGGTTTACCGATGTGGCTTCAGCACGTGAACTAACCTTAACGTTTTATTTATTTATTGCTTTTAGTCATTTATTTATTGGTAGTTTTATTCATTGTTAATGTTTGGTTGTATTTATACCAAAGCTGTATTCTGTATTATTTACGAGATGTAATGACACGATTCCATTAACTAAACCATATTCAGCATTCCTAGATACGAACTATATATTTGTTTACTGATCATATCGTATTACAATGCATTTATGTCTTTTGTAATTTTGTCTACAATATACATGTTTCATAGATGCGACTTTTGCCAGACCCGATCCCATTTATCATAATTCGAAAATTTAAATGTAAATTTTCTCTGAATTAAAATTTATGCAAATGTCGAGCAAGTGACATCACTCGATAGGCTTTGGGTCAAGGTTGACATCATCAATCGATTCGCTTGGGCTTCTTAAACTGTTAAGGGTCAACGATACGAAACACTCCCATAAGAAAATACCAGTCTTGTAATGGACATGCAAATGGGAGCGCGTGGGTAAACTACCAATGGGTTTGTAACACGGTACGTCACTGGAAAATACGGGATTACGGTTCAGTGCAAGTGCAAGCGCTGACTGATAATAGACTTTGATGCATCACTTTAATTCCCAAGGACGTTACTTAACTATAAATTATCAAAAAGTTGAATCACGTTTTGTACGAAATTATGTAAGATATATATTTTTTTTTGTAATAAAAAGCACCACTTGATTGTTCGTTATCGCGTCGTGCTCGCGGCCAACGTATTCATATTTGATAAGATAACGCTTTCTTATTAGTCGAACATGAAAAATATATTTTTTCGAGTGATACATTTCCTGGATGTTTTTGCCTTCTCCAAGATGATTTCATAGCATGGCTTGGATATCCCCAGTGATATTTTTGTTATTCAGATTCGAACGGCGTTAATCTGTTACGAACTATGTATTTACACATAAAATTATCACTTGTTTGGAGATTAACTCAGGAGAAATGATATTTTTCCATTGACATAATCACCTACGACTGATTTATCTTCGCGGATAAAAAATAAAAAATCGTGTCCGTGAAAGTCCAAAAAAATTAAAATCAAAACAAGACAGTGTTTACTTAAACATTCGCACTAATTTCCTTATCTCGTTGAATTCTTAACAATTCGGTGACGAAAGAATAGCAATGAACAAAATAAAATTACATAGATACGTGGAATTACCTGAAGTCATTTACGTAATGAACAAAATATACATAAAGTAGTAGTTTAATATGGGTGTTTTTAACTCAGATTTTTTTTTTAAGAGATCTTTACAAAACATGTTTTTTAACAGGTCATTTTCTCAATTTTTGTGTTTTGAAAATAAATAAACTATAATAAATAAACTTTATTTCCAACAGGTTTTACACCCACTTACAGGAAATAATAAAATTAAACTATATGTGATTAAGAGAGTACATAAGTTACTTAATTTAGAAATTATTATAAAAAAGAAAAAAAAAAAATACAGAGAAACCTGGCTAAACTGCACCAAAATTAAATAAAACTTCCTAAATTTAAAGACCAAATTCTTCAATAATAGCACGGCTTAACGAACTCGCCTTGTCAAAATTAATATCAAACTTCCTACATATTTGGTTATAGTAATTACACATTAAAGATATGGGTGATTTATACATAGCATTGGTTCTATTGAACGAACTATAAAAAGTATAAACATGCCGTGTGCTCTGACGCGGAATAGCAAAATTTACTTCATTTAAAAGTGATGAACAGTTAATTTTATAATTAACTAAATTATACAAAAATCGGACCAGCAATATTATTCTTCTTGTACTCAGCGAGTTAATATTAAACCTAGAAAGCAAAGTCTCATGATCGAAGCCTCTTGCAGGGTACGAGCCGTCTAAGAGCAAACACACAAATTTTAAAAATGATCTTTGAACTGATTCAATGCATACAATATGTATTTTGTATATAGGAAACCAAATAATTGCTCCATACTCTAACCTAGATCTAACTAAAGAAAAAAACAGCAGAAATAAAGTACGTATATCAGAAAAATCACGACAATTCCTATAAATAAACCCATAGATTCTGAAAGCTTTTTTGACCATGTCTTGTATGTGTCCAACAAAAGTAAACTGATTATCAAACAAAATGCCGAGGTCTTTGATACACTCTAAACGATTTATATTGACAAGAAAAGATTGAAAAGACATCAATCGGCTGTTTTTTACATTAAACAAACTTCAACGACTAAAACTCGAAAATCGACCCATTTTTCTAAAAAATTGATGTTTTTGGAAAATTTGAGTTAGACCAAGGGGTTAAAAATAAGGGTAAAAAGTCAAATTCAACGTTGTCTGTGATGTTTTAGCTGAAATACGGGTTTTTGTTGAAAAAAAATACATGTAAAATAAGAAAACGACCAAGAAAACTAGGCATAAAAAATTGGTCGAAGGTAATACTAAAAACAACAGTATTGTTTTCCCAAAATTTTCTGGGCAAATGAAGTGAGCCGTTCCTGATTTAATCAATAAAATACATTGACACATTCATTAATTTTTTTGAGCCACCTGTATAGGCAAATGTAAAAAATATGAATGCAAGAAAAATATGGGTAAAATCAGTTTTTCCTTAACAAAAACTAGGCCCGCCCACCCGCCCCCTGTTTTCCCAGGAGATGTCATCTGCCGAAATAAGTCTTATCGTATCAACTATTAGCCCCGCCCACCCGCCCCTTATTTTGTCAGAGGGTAGTACTTGGTATATTAAGTCTTATTTTGGCAAATGACATATCCTCTGAGAAAATAGGGGCGGGTAGGCGGGGCTAACACTTGCTAAAATAATACTGATTTTGCCCCTATTAAACTTGTAAAAACTTGTGAAATTTAAAGGTGTTAAATTGCAAATAGATATTTTATAAAATTTAAATTACAGTTACTATTATAAATTTTGGAGATGACGTCATCAATTTTAGTTAGGGTTTTACCATCTACACGAAATTCATAACATAAATGTAAAATTTAACAACAATCAGTCCACTAGATTATTTGTATTATAAAAATCCGGACAAATGTCAAACAGACAGACGGAAGCGAACTTTAAAATTGCAAAATCTTAAATATTAAAAAGTAGTACTTGTGGTTTATGAATCCGTTATGCATTTTTATATTAGACATCGAGATTTTTGAAAAAAATAATTAAAATTGTGGATGTGGCAGTTTTTCAATTTTCTAATTTTTGGAACTTTCGATTTTTCAACTTTTGATTTCTCAATTTTTCCATATTTCAGTTTTGAGATTTTTCAGATTTTTTATTCCTCAGTTTTGCGATTTTTCCATTTTTTAATTTCTCGATTTTCGATTCTTGATTATATATATTTTTTCGATATTTCACCCATATTTTCGATATTTCGGTACTGAAATGTTTCAATTTACCAATTTTTGACGTTTTTAATTTTCAATTTTTCGGTTAATGGATTTTTTTGATTTTACCATTTCTCGATTTCGAGACTCTGCAATGTTTTAGTTTGCCATTTCTTCCATTTTTCGATTTTGCAATTTTTCAATATTCAGTTTTTTTGGTTTTCCGGTTTTTCAATTTTTTAAGTTTTGGAATTTTTCAATTTTTCGATTCTTAAATTTTTCTTCCATTTTTCAATGTTTCGATATTTCAATTTTGGGGTTTTGCAATATTTTTCTGTTTCAACTTTTAATATTAGAACTTTCGTTTTTATGATATTTTCTCGATTTTCAATTTTTCGATATTTTCATTTTTCAAGTTTTAAAATTGTGGATTTTTCGACCTTTCAATTTTTTTGATTGTTCAGTTGTTAGAGTTTTCAGTTATTCTAATTATTAATTTATAGATTTTTCTTTTTTTTAATTTTTGGATTTTTAAAATTTCTGATTTTTCGATGTTTCCAATTTTCTATTTCTTAATTTACGAGATTTCCATGTTTCGATTTTTGTTTGTTCACTTTCTCGATTTTTCGATTTTTTGATTGTTCAATTGTTGGATTTTTAGATTTTACAAATTTTCGATTTGTCGATTTTTTGATCTTAAATTTTTCAGTTTTTCAATTTTTCGATCTTTCGACTTCTCGATTTCTCAATCTTTTGATGCTTCGATTTCTCGATGCCTCAGTTTTTTAACAGCCCGATGTTATGATTTTTCTATTTCTTCGTTTTTCGATTTTTTGACTTTCGGAACTTTCGATTTTCCAATTTTTCGACGATTCGATTTTTTAATTTTTGCGATTTTTTAAATTATGGATTTCTCGATGTTTCAATTTCCATAGTACCGATTTAAATTCCTAAATGAGATTGGACATTCATTTTTTAATAACTCAAGTCATTAATTGTTCTGAGACACCCTGTATAAGCAAATTTAAAAATATTAATTATATATTAAAAATAAATTACAAGTATAGACTCATCATATTTTGCACATTTAAAATATGATAGATTCAGCAATATTTTGAGGTGACGTCATCAATTTTTTTGGGGGGATGAGCAAATACATTTTGATCAAAAGATTCGAAAATTAAAAAATTCTAAAACTCGAATATCGAAAAATTTTAAAAATCGAAGAACAATTGAAGAATAGAAAATTGAAAAATCTCAAAACTACGACATTTAAAAACTGAGATTGGGGAAAATTAAAAAATCGAAAAATTGAAAAACTGATCAATCGATAAATCAAAAAATTGCTCAAAAGTTGTACATTTTGACTGCGGACTCAATTACAATCCTTCCTTCGCTTACGCTAGGGAAATAAAAATCTGAGTTAAAAAGATACACATTTTAGACTACTTAAAGTACATACGTAACACTTTTAAACGATAATTTTAATGAATTCACGCGAACGAACGCTTAAAAATTTTGCTGATAATGAGGTTTTAAAACGGATTTCTGGCATATCTACGCAGTCCATGTGGATTTTATTAGGTTTGTTTAAAGCCATAACATGGTAGGTAAACATTACTAGGAACAGTTCTAGGTTCAAGTTTAGTACAAATTCTTGATTTGGAGACTTGCTAAGAGAACAATGAAAATTCGTCATCGACTCATATACCCAACTGAACACACAAATAGTAGGATATTCTTGGCTCAGAAATTTTAAAAAGGGTTAAATTGCGGAATAGATAGTAACAAGATAAATTAAACACAAGCGTTGCGTTTTCTCTAATCACAATATAAATAAAAGCCTTAAGTACTCATTATTAATACAATTCTTGGGAAATCGTGATAACGAATAAGTGACACAACAGTGGAAAAATATACACAATAATAATAATTATTATTATTAATATTATTTTTTGGCTAGATTCAAAATTATCTTGATCACACCAAGTACTGACAAAGCAATACCGGAACGTGTTTTAGGTGACGTCATTAGATTTCTTAAATGAATAGATCAATCTATTCTGATTAATGTTATTAATGCATAAATTGATGTTACTATCCTAGCACCCAACCAGAAATTCCCTCAAAGAAATATTTATTTCCAGAGTACAGATAACGTTATCAATTTCCTTGAAACGATGAAGAAATAGATTTTAGATAGTGATCTGTAATCAATGAATCAATATTAGCGTCCTACATGTTCGTACTCTACAAACTGTGAACTCGGGAGGAGCTAAAAAAATAGGACCGCAATTACAAAAAAACAATGACATCCAAACTTCGACAGTATACTAAGGACATAAAAATCAAGTGTTTTACGTTCTTTTCGAATACCCAGTAGAAAGCTACTGCCCAAAAGACCTGCCGCATGCTGACCGTTATACCTGCCTGATACAGGTAACGTTTTGTTTATTAGTCTGATCGACACGCGACAAAAACAAAGTTTAACGACATGTTGAATATTTCACAAAATGATTATATTTTATAGATAAGATACATTTTGAGTTGTTTACAAATATTTACGCCTGGAAAATATACATAGTGGATTCAAAAAAAGTTGTCAAAAGTAATCGGTTAAAAAATGTTCACGTCGACGCAGTTCGTCAACTAGTTTGACATCTTTAGGCACAAACTGAAAAAAAACGTGGCAATATTTAAGTTTTGCCCCGCCCACCCACCCGTTCTATTTCTGTGGTATATTTCGCTGATTTTACTCAGCAAAAATAAGAAAACGACAACAAAAGTGAAAAAAAAAAGTAAAAGGAACAAAAAGTGCCAAAAGAACATGGCAAAAAGGATAAATACCTGAGAGAAATGGGTAGCAAAAGTATTCTTTTTTTTTAAATTTAAAGAAGTCTAAAAAACTAAAAATTCTTGAAACAATTTCAAAAATTGGAAATGTTCTAATAATTCAGAATTCATAACAATTTCAAAATTGGAAAATCTGTTAAAAAATGAAAATTCGAAAACTATATATTCCAAAAATAATAACAATGCTTGGAATTTTGAAAATTTCTAGACGTTTCTAGGAAGTTCAGAACTTCCAAGTCAAAAATCTAGAAGCTTTAAAATTTAAAAAATCCAGGAGTTCCAAATGTATTAAAGATCCCAACAATTTTAAATTTCAGAGTCTTTTTTGAATAATTGGAATACGAAAATTCCAAAAGGGCCGTCAGTAGTAAAATCCCTATAATAAATAAGTCTAAAATTTTGTCAATTTCAAAAATTCGCGGGACTAGAAAATTCTAAAGAATGAAAAAAGGAAAACTTCCAAGTGGTAAAGATTTATAAATTTTAAAATTCCAAAAATCCAGAGTTTCGAATTGTCAAAAATTTTAACATTTTTTAAATTTTAAACAGTTTTTTAATAACAGAAATTATAAACTCCAAAAGGGCCGTAAATATTAAAATAGCTGTAAAAATCCACAAATTCCAGAACTTCATAATACCACAAATTACAAAAAGATTAAAATTTTTTGCGAAAATTGCAAATGTTCTAATAATTCAGGAATCATAAAAATTTCAAAATTGCGAAAATCTGTTAAAGAATGAAAATTAGAAAACTATACACATATTTCAGAAATAATAAAAGCGCTTGAAATTTTGATAATTTCTAGAAATTCTTAGGAAATTCAGAAATTCCAAATAAGTCAAAAATTTAGAAGCTTTAAAATTCTAAAAGTCCAGGAGTTCCAAATGTGTCAAAAATTCTAACAAATTTATATTCAAACTATTTTTCAATAACTGGCATAAAAAAAAATGAAAAGGGCCGTCAGTAGTAAAACGCCTATAATACGCCTTTAAAATTTCAAAAATTCAGACAATTTAAAAAATTTCATGAAGGAGCAAATTCTAGAAAATAAAAAAAGGAAAACTTCCAAGTGTCAAAGATTCAGAAATTTAAAAATTCCAAAAATCCAGAGTTTCGAATTGTCAAAACTTTTAACATTTTTTAAATTTTAAACAGTTTTTTAATAACAGAAATTATTAAACTCCAAAAGGGCCGTGAATATTAAAATAGCTGTAAAAATCCAAAAATTCTAGAAATTCATAATGCCACAAATTACAAAAAGATTAAAATTTTTTGAAATTCCAGAAGTAGACTTAAATAATTGCAAGAATTGCGAAAATTGCAAATGTTCTAATAATTCAGAAATCATAAAAATTATTTCAAAATCGCAAAAATCTGTTAAAGAAAGAAAACTATAGACATATTCCAAAAATAGTAAAAACGCTTAAAATTTTGAAAATTTCTAGAAATTCCTAGGAAATTCAGAAATTCCAAATAAGTAAAAAATTTAGAAGCTTTAAAATTATAAAAGTCTAAGAGTTCCAAATGTGTCAAAAGTTCTAACAAATTTATATTCAAACTATTTTTCAATAACTGGAATAAAAAAATGAAAAGGGCCGTCAGTAGTAAAACGCCAATAATACGCCTTTAAAATTTCAAAAATTCAGACAATTTCAAAAATTCCATGAAGTATAAAATTCTAGAAAATAAAAAAAAGGAAAACTTCCAAGTGTCAAAGATTTAAAAATTTAAAAATTCCAAAAATCCAGAGTTTCGAATTGTCAAAACTTTCAACATTTTTTAAATTTTAAACAGTTTTTTAATAACAAAAATTAGTAAACTCCAAAAGGGCCGTAAATATTAAAATAGCTGTAAAAATCCAAAAATTCCAGAAATTCATAATGCCACAAATTACAAAAAGATTAAAATTTTTAGAAATTCCATAAGAAGACTTAAATAATTGCAAGAATTGCGAAAGTTGCAAATGTTCTAATAATTCAGAAATCATAAAAATTTCAAAATTGCAAAAATCTGTTAAAGAATGAAAATTAGAAAACTATACACATATTTCAAAAATAATAAAAGCACTTGAAATTTTGATAATTTCTAGAAATTCCTAGGAAATTCAGAAATTCCAAATAAGTCAAAAATTTAGAAGGAGGAGTTCCAAATGTATCATAAATTCTAACAAATTTATATTCAAACTATTTTTTGAATAACTGGCATAAAAAAATGAAAAGGGCCGTCAGTAGTAAAACGCCTATAATACGTCTTTAAAATTTCAAAAATTCAGACAATTTCAAAAATTCCATGAAGTAGAAAATTCTAGAAAATAAAAAAACTTCCAGTGTCAAAGATTTAGGAATTTAAAAATTCCCAAAATCCAGAAGTTCGAATTATCAAAAAATTTAACATTTTTTAATAGTAGAAATTAATAAACTCCAAAAGGGCTGCAAATATTAAAACACAGACCTAAATTCTTAAAAATTTCAAAAATTTCGACAATTCCAAAAAAACGATAAACTAAAAAATTCTACAAATTCCTTATTTTTTCACAAATAACTAAATAAGAAATAAACGTTATAGCAATTAAGTAGTTTCCATTTTCACTTTACAAATAATACATATAATTCACCCCGCCTCCATTTCAGTGATTCACTTTCTTTGTCTAGTCCGAATGAAAGGTGGATCTCAACTGAAGAGAGATAAAATCGTTAGAATAAGAACAACGTGTGTGGGCGGGACTAGTATTTGCTAAGATAAGATTGATTTTAGTGAATGACATACCTTCTAAGAAAAAAAAGGGTGGGTGGGCGGGGCTAAAACTTGCTAAGCTAGAACTGAGCAATATTAAGAGTAGTCATCGGAACAAAAAAGGGGTGGGTGGGTGGGGCCACTGTTTGCTCATAAATCTAGAAAAAAGCTAAATTTAGCCCCGTCCATCTTCTTTCTCCATTTCGCTGACTTATTTTATTTAGTGTAAGTGGAAAATTGGGACGGCAGACAGGCAGACGGAAAAGGGAGACCTATTTCTTCGTACTGAAAGTCATGAAAGGTCGAGAAAACGTAAAAGTAGAGAGTCGAGCGACAGACTCGATTACGCTCGGGAAGTAAAAAACGTATTTTCACGCTATAAGTGGCCTTTTTATTAGAAAAAAGCTAGATCGATGCATTCACATCAAGTTTTCACTGGATTCTGTGTATTCTGATAAATACGGTGTAACACACTACGAGTAAATAAACATATTATTGTTATCACAGAATTTCAAGAAAATGAATTTAGAACTTTTAAAAATCCCGTAAGCAATTCGGAAAAATAAAACCGTATTACTGACATACAGGTGACTTCGATAAAAATTTCAGCACCTCATATTCTGAGAAAAGATAGAAATATTGAAATTCTGTAAACGACATTATTTTTAACTTGAAAAGAAAGACTCAATTTGGTATAAAATATAAATATAAGACATATATAGCGTCGGTGAATTGGCAATAGCATAGCCAGCTCGGCGACCAGATTCAACTAATTGATTTAATTTTTTTAGTTTAATGACTTATAATCAAATAAAGCTAAAAACAATGTTGTTCACAGAATTTCAATATTTCTATCCATCTTAGCGAGTAACGCGCGGAGTTTTATTTGTTGAGAAAACGTCATTAAAAATAAAAATGCGGGTGGTTTCTCAAACCCCCAACATCGAAGCAATCGGTTCGGTAGTTCGTTTGAAAATTCTCCATTTACTAACGCCCAACTGGCCGCTCATGACGTAACTCCGCGCCGCCGAGCAATTTTTTTCATTCCGCGGAACGCCGAAATTCGCTTCAACCTTGACACCGGCCTGAAAGTCATCAAACCACTCGGCATCCGTCCCGCATTCGCCCCCCGATCGTCCGCCGATTCGAAAAAGTCGGCAATTAGCAGCTCGAGCTACTGCGCAAGCCGTCGCGCCGCTCCGCTCCGAGCCGCTCACTTCGCCACATTCAAACCGAACTCTTTTTCGAGTCCGCGCTGCGATCAACAAGTTGCACGCTGCGGTGCAGTCGCCGGTACCATCGCGAGCCAGACCAGCCCCCAGCCGTCTACGCCACTGAACTACTCGATCGGCCGAAAGCTAAAAGGGGCGTGTTCGCGTCGCCCCATGTCGCGCTGTGCCATGACCATATGGGTCTAGGAGTGCTGTGCCTCTGATTACGCTATTACGAAGGATTTTCCGCGCCGATTCGCCACCATGGAGGGATTCCCGGCGCTCATCGGCCCCAACGACGACTTCAAGGAGCTGTGGGAGACCGACCTGGACCCGGTGAGTGCCGTGGCCGGTGTATAACGCAACACACTCCATTTCAATATGTTGTCAAACGCGGCTTTTACCGTTGCGGCAGGTCGCGGTTTTATGGATGCGGGTTCGGAATTTAAATAGAATACGAGTATCAGTCATGCGGTTGAAATGAAAGTCCAGGAAGGCTCCCTTTTACCAAGTGAAACTAAATGCGGGTCTGTACAAAGACGCTGCGAGACTTTTAAATAATTTTATGCTTGTAGAATGGCTATTTTCGACACATAAAGTTTGCTTTACGGTTCTGTAATCTCTCGCGCTATCAATATGGCACTTACTGTTTTTTATGGGACGTAAAACGCTATGGCGCCCTTGAATTCACTTCGATATTATGTAGGTGAAATTTAATTTTTGTTTGGCGAGGCGGCGGCGGCGCGTGGGGTGGATGGTTAAATACAGATAGATGGTTTATTGCTCCCATGGGCTTTCTTAATTGCTTAATGACACTAATGGCTTGCCGTTTGTAATTCTAGGACGAAAGTTCCCATTAACGAACTCATTAATGGGCTATTATGCGAATTGACGTTTTTTTTGGTTAATTGTGACGTACGTCGAACAACGTCTGGGACCCACTTGACGCCCTCCTCATTTTACCCCATGTATTTTAAATATTTGCCGACAGTAGTATGACGGACGCTCTATTACACCCAAGATGTATAAATACGCGTATATATTTCTAAGAAAGAGTAAAGCGAAAGACGTTACTCAACAGCCCTCCATCATTCTAAAGCTGCACGATTTGATTGATCAATCGATTAATTACGCAATCAATCAGTTCATATTTGCTGCTACGATAACGCGATCATAAAGAATTGATCGTCGACTCCCACAACACACCGACAGACAGACCACGTGAAAACCATCCAAATTCCTATAATTCCGGACCTACTTTATTAATTTTTCTCACTTAGCAAGAGTCCAATAACACGGCAGAAATTATTTTTACACCTGTATCATGTCATTCCGGATATCGATGATTACAGCACGTTGTTTGCTCACATAATCCATAAATACTTGAATTTTTTTGCACGCCGGTTTATCGCTATGTTATCAGTGGTCGTAATGCTGCTTGCCACTTTTGTGTTAGTATTTACAATATGTGGGGCAAAATACGAAATTTGATAGTCGTGGTTAGGTTAACCTCAATTTTTGACATTGTTATTAACCTACAGGATGGGTTAAAGATCATGCATGGACGCAGAGATATCAACAAAAATTTGGTGGCGTAGTCAACTCTAATCCAGTTTTTTTTTCAATCACTAATGAATTTATACTGTACTGATTTTTTTTAGAAAGTGATTGGTAAATGAATCACTAGTGAATCATAGGTTATGTTAATTAGTTGTTTTGAAGCATTTTCCACTAAAACCAGGTTCACACCTGGAAGCTAAGAGCACTGCTTTCAGATCAAATTATTTTAATGAGACATAAGATAGCAACGGAAATTTCTTACCGTAGCCAACTCTAATCCAGTTTTTTTTTTTCGATCACTGTAATGAATTGTAGCCAGGTTTTGTTACATATTTTTTCGATTGTGACTGCCACTTACCATTAAAGAGTCGCTTAATTAAAATTTGTTCAAACTATAGTGAAAATAGTATTATCAATTCATTAATTTAATATGACAGTTACAGAGCCAGCTGTAATGCCTTTTTTTTTTAACGAAACCGACACCAAAATATCATAAATCTGGGAAAATACGACCAAATTGTTCAAAATCGTTTTGTTGCTCCATGATTTCCATCGGTTTTAAATTTTTGATGTCAGGTAGACTCTGAAACTCGCTGGAAAAACGATGTCACGTGTTGAATTTTGACAGATATTTTCTCACGACCATTTTTGTCGTTTTTTGCTAGTCCCTTTCATGCTCAAAATAATCCTAGTCATGCTGTAAATAACCGTAATTGCAACTTAATGAAAGTGAAATGTTAGTACATGCCGGAGAAATTTCTTTGTTTGCGCCTTTCTATTTCTCCAATCATTATCCGACACTTGGACTCCGATTTTCCTTCACCTAAACGTTATTTATGGCTTGATAACCGTGGAATTACTCCAAAATTTATTATCAAATTGGTTTCCTCGACAAAGTGGGTGAAGATTGTGCAACTGAATGATATCAGTGAATGACATCTACACCCGTGTTTTTATTAGCTTAATCTTAAGAACCCGTCTATATCGACATCCGGAATATTGTTTGTGGAATTGGTTGCTATGTAGCGAATTTGATGTTGGTGATGGATAATGCTCCATTCGTTTTTTGAAATTCCGTAATGTAGATGATCTTAGTCGTGTACCGAAGATGTAAATTAAAAGAAAAACAAGATAAGAAACCAAAATAACATCGAGCAAAAACAGCAGTATCTAATTTGTCCCGAGAATTTTGCAATTTCGTCGCCTCACTCCGTTAAACAATCTGTCATGGTCGATAGAGTTGCATTCCATCGAAGATGGCCGTTCCTTTTTCCGGTCAATGGATTTTCCAGAGCCGGATTTAGCCCTCCGCGCACCTCCATCTCAACTCCAAAAACCCGACCTTATCCTTACATAACACTCCAGAATCATTCCTCACTCCCGACTCCGAACCGTCCGATAAATCAAGCCAGCGACGGAAAACTTGTCGCATACATGTAAATCGCTGATTGGTCGCCGCCTAATTAATACCAAACACCACTCGCCTCTCTCTTCTTCGCCGAAAAACAAAAACCCTCCTCCATCTCCGGCTTTCGACTCTTTCGAGAACTGTTTACCCGCGAGAAACCGGTGTAAACAAGTTGTTTTCCAGAAATCCCGACGGCCCTAATGGCCGCCGGAGGGGAGGCGGCACGTGACCCAATAATGCGATTCGGTCAAGCAGGCCACGGCCAAGGTCACGCTTACGTAACCCCCCGCCGCCGCGGCAGGTGGACAATGCACAATCCGAAAAGCGCGCGTGAAAGGCACTCGGTCGTTTACACCGGAGTACTGTTATAAAATTCGGGAGAAAATACCGAAAATAGGAAGTCTGGAGATGCGTAAATATTTTGGCTGCCGCGAAAATAGCGCGAAATGGCCGGCGGAGGGGAGGGAGAAAGGCGAGCGCGAAAAGCGGATCGAGGTCGGGGGTGGGGGTGAGTGGAGCGTGTGATGTGACGTTCGCGGATATCTCCCACGGCGCGGTCGCATGGGCATGGAATTTCGATGGGTTGATAAGCGCTGGGTAACAATGGTACCCGAACTTGAAAGAATTCGCATTTGGCCGGGACATGCGCGTTTTACACACGCGTTGCATACATTATTTTTTCTAGGCTCGTGAATTATTAAAAAAGCAAATCATTGTTTACTTACGTTACAAATTTATTTATTCTTTAAAATCAATTTGAAAATATTTTTCGGGTAAAAAATAAGTGCTGTAATGTTATATTACGGGGATTAGTGCGGTAATATACCTGATTACCTATTCGATGGACAGGGATAAGCAAATTTTATCTAATCACCGGAAAAGTTCTGGTTGCAGCTGGTGTTAAAAGTTCCGCTTGTGTAATAAAAAAAACACGCAAAGTTCATGATTAATAATAATAATAATACAAATGCACACCGTGCAACGGAAAAATCCCCTGTATTGTACTATACAATCGATCCTTCCTTTCATAAAACGTTTTATCTATGTTTTTTACGTAACGTAACCCACGTAATCAATAACCAGGCCGTTATCTCTAGTCCCTTTGATAAAATCCACAGGTAAACAACTCGCTGCATATTCAACCCAACGCTAAAAATTCGAAACTTGGAGAAATTTCCTTTTCCTGTGATAAGCGTAAAGTTTGACGAATCCACCGCGTGGAAAATTAGACGAGAAAGTGTTTTCAATTGTTTGCTCTGCTCGTTACTAATTTAGTCCTTGACATTTCGACGACCGATCGACTTTTCAGAAGAAAAATGGTATTTTCCAAAAGCAAGCTTGCACCAGGTTAATTAGTCGAGTCGAGTTGGTAGACTTGAACCAATTAACGAGCATGGAACAAGTTTAATTAGAATAACAGGACTCTCTCGGCGATTGGTCGAGTAAAAAATGGAGTGCTAGTGTGACGATGGCGCGAAAAACGAACGCTCTTTCGGAAAACCGAAACTGCAGCCATCAATAACTGAAATCTGTTGCATACGTGCCGCTTTCGCGTTTCAGGTTAGTTTTTCAGCTCAGCTTTCTTATCCACAAAACCTTATCTTGATCGATAGTACGCTAGTTAATGTGATATTTCTTGCATCACCCACATCGACAACTTTCCAAATGCTCTCTATATATCTTTGTCTAAGATTATGCATGACACGATCCGATCGTTTCGAAACAAGATTCATGATTTCAAATTGACGATGAATTGTGACAGTGAAGTCCGGATGCAGGACCGGACCGAGTGCAGCGTGCTTAAAAATGAGATGATAATTTATTCCATGCCGTTTTAAAAGCAGAGTCTAATAAAGTGCTCACTAAGTGCAATTTTAATTAATCTGCATGTTTATGTCGCCAATTAACATTAAACGATGCTGATTTGTGGATCGTGTTTGTAGAATCTACTGACCTTTGGTAACAGAAAGTGTTTGTTTAAAAATAGTAATTTCATGATTACTCATGTATTTACTCGAAGAGTTGGGTTTAGCCTGTCGACGGATAAACCACAAATTAGGGAATTTTTATCAATTAAATAATTTTTTAATGAGGGGTTTTGCACGTTTGGGCCTCCTGTAGCACGTATACACGACCACAAACGTCCATGAATCACGACATTGGATTTTAGATTGTCTGAGTTCTTCGAAAACATTCTACAATTTTTTTTTTCTATGGGCTCTTCTGAAACGTTTTAAAAACAATCCTTGAGGAACCACTCAAGTTGTTATTAAACTTGGCTTTTATCACATGGCGATGTCTCAATGAGTGCTAGTACATGACAAATAAAATGTGGATCAGTGTAGTAATATCTGGACAATAAAATGTA